GTATCACTACGGAAGTAGGAATGCCCAACCTTCCTTCCGAGGAGTGGCTGGTGGGTTTGAACCATCAGCCTTCTGGTTAGCAGTCAAGTGCCTTAGCCACTATGCTACCGGAGCTCAATTCAAAATCATGTATCTCAAGTATGGTTGATTACTATAACAAGAAAAACACAGCAAAGCTGGAAAAGGTCCTAAGAAGTGTAACTGAAAACAATAAGGAGACAAGACTCTTATTCTTGACATAAACATTTTTTAGACTGTTTTTGGAGAAGATGAAGGTATATAAGGAATACTATTAGTTTACAATAAGCTGTATGTATAGGGACTCCCAGAAACCTCAAGTAATCACTTTTACGATAAATACAAACCATAGCATGAGTATAGAGACAGAATCCGTTCATGAACCACTAAATAATTCAGCTTTGTTACCACAGAGTACTTTAATACTACTTTATATAATTTAAAATCCTAACCTTACAGGATTTATTATTCTCCCAAGAGAGAGCATAATCTCTAGACTTGAATGTGTTCAATAAGGGCTGGATTATTCGTTATTATTGACCATTATAGGGGTTTTAGAATCTTAACCTTCCAAGGTACAGCCTTCTGCAAAACATCCCTTGATGCCACAATAAAATCCAGCAGGGCAGGACTATCGTTATGTTCTTATGAGAGCTGCTTTTGGCGTCAGGCTTGGAGACTGTGATTTCTGCACACTTTGTTTCCACTAACTTATTACCTTGAGAAGATTGTATCTGTTGAAGATTCCACCTGCATGGCCTCCATCGCGGTGCTCTCGGACTGTACTTTGCATCTGATGGACAAATTATTTCAAATATATACGCATTAGTTTTTATGTCTTTTTTTGATTTGGGGAACACAGTTCTTGACCCATCTGAATCTATTTTTGAGACTGCAAGTTTTAACATTTTCATTGTTTAAAGAGTATGAGTTCTGTAAGTTCATAGGTACTATTTTCTAGAAACAATAGTTAGCTAATATGATCAACCAGAAAACAGTATTTATAGGTGAAAATTATATAACACAAACTAAAAAAAGAAACATACTAAAAAATAAAACAAAATGGTTTGTTCTCATTCATGCTGCCCTAATAAAGAACAACTTGTATTTTATTAATATAGGAGTCTCTTGAGTTTAGAACCAAATTTCACTCAACTTTTATCTCTGTGCTCAACGCATATACACAGGGTACACGTTCTTCATAGAATAATGAGGGAACTATTCAACATTTTAATGGATTCGAGAGTTTTGTGTGAAGAAAAGTGGAGGAAAATTTTCATGGATAAGTAGCATCCACATGTTCCGGTCATGTCTAAGATACTACACTTTGCAATTGCCTTTAAAAAAAGAGGGAACATTAACCATTTCTTTCAAATGGCAGCAACCTCTTCTCCAACAGTGGGTTATTAATTCTAATACTGAACCAAGTTACTGGAATCAAGGTTTGTTGAGAGATTGCACCTTAAACGCCAATGCTAGAAGTTTCCAGGTGGTAAAGAGTTAAAACATACTACATGTTCAATTAGATCTGGAAATCTCCAGGAAATTTAGCCAGTGAACCAACAATACGAGATCTATTTTTTCCAAAGGAAGTGTAGTGAATTACATAGTATGGCTTTTCTAGTCTTTGTAACTTTCACTTTGCCACAAGCAACTGAGTAGCTGCTTGTTAAAGTCATCCACCTAGGGCAGCATGAAGTAATCTTCTGGGTAAGTTTACGCTTTCTCAAGTGTGTAGAATTCCAGTGTTGGGATTGGTTAGTTTCGCTACTCTGCCAGGCTTAAAATGAGCCTTCCCAAAGGCAGAAAGGCATCTCTCTGCCGGCTGAGAGCCCTGCTGCTTAGAGTGATGCTGCAAGACTGAGCACGTTCCTGAACTTGCATTGTAGCCTGTTGCTTCCCTAATAAACCCCATAATCTGTGAGTTCTGTGTGGCCACTGCAGGGAATTATCAAACCCAGAGAGGTGGTGTGTGCAGCGGGAGGGACATTGGTGTCAAGGCTGGCAAGCAGACTGGAGGGTGGCGGCAAGGCTGGCTTTATAGGAACAGGCCTTGGGTGCTGATGATGATTCCGTCTTCCTCGTGTGGAGTTAGAGGAGGTCAGAAGATGCTGTCTCCTTGCCCCTTTAGCACCAAATATTGAAGGTAAATGAGCATACCTCTTCCTCTACAGACTGAAACTCTTTATCATCAGGAGATAGATCTATGAGAATTGTTCCACTACCAGAGGTGTTCAGAGTTAAATATGGGTTAAGACCTATGAAATAAAATTTGAAGGGGGAAAAAAAAGTCAACAAAACAATTAACATCAACCCAAAATTATCACCTGATTTTATCTAATGTTTACTAATTTTGAAAAATAAAATTGGAATAATTTAGACATACAGAAAGGCTGAAAGATAGTATACAGAGTTCCTGTACGTCCTTCACCCAACTCCCCATAATATTACTATTTTATATAACTATAGTACAACTGTCAAAATTTATTAATTAAATCACAGGTTTTATAAGGCTCTTACCAGTTTTTTCCCACTAATATCCTTTTTCTGTCCTAGGATCCAAACAAGGGCATTGTATTACATTTAGACTAATTTATGATCTGGCTAGCCATAAGGGTTTTGTAGGAATATTTCAGAAAATATTTCTTTTCTTTATCTCCTATTTATAATGAATTTATGTCACATATGTTCTTTAACTTATTTTTTGCTTTATTTTTTCACTAACTATGCAGCCCTTTCAGTATTTAATCCCTGTTTTCTTCCTAAGTATGAGGAATGATGATGAACTGCATAGCCTCAAGGTAATTTTAAATTATCCTAGAATAAAGTTTACTACCTAAACTTTACTCAGTACCTATCCTGACCCATAAGAGATTCTTTAAAATTTGGCAATGAATTTGTTGTTTTTACTAAATGTCAATGGTCAAAATAACCATATACATTTTTGTTTCTTTTATTCTCACAAAAGTTCTTTAAATGGAATTTTCTAATTTCTTTGGTATATTTGTAATACAACTCTCTCCTTTAATCTATAGAAGGCTGCCAGAGCTCTGACGTTTTTCCAGGTAGGGTCAAATCTTTTACTGCTGGACAGAGATTTGCCTTTGGGAATTTAGAGCACTATTCTTGCTTTGAGCTGTGAATTGAAGAACAATACTACCACCAATATACCAGACTCTGATAGAATCTTACAGGAAATGCTGAAATACAGTATCTATATGAACTATGGAATCCACAATTATGGAGGAAAATATTTTACAGGACAAAGACTGTGACAAATGTTTGACTATGGTGTCTGCAGATCTCTCTAAGAAGAGGTGTATCAGTGCTGGAAGGTAAGAACAAGTAACCTTTTGATTTGATGCACTGAATGAGAGCTGAGGCTATTAAATCAGCCAGATGAGAGACTGTTGGAAGACCATACAGGCAACCACTGATTCCACCCTGCAAATTAGGTATAATATAGATACAGAATCATGGCTTCAAATGAAGATGAAGATGATGATAACTCTTCATATAGCAAAGTGACCCTGATATGCTAAATCAGACATAGCCGTTTTGTCTCATGACCAAATGAATGCTCCTACCCAATCATAGCTGGATGTGTCAGTAACTACAGGACCAGAGGTAGCATGGAGGAACCTCTGCCACTTAGGGGCAGCATATGTTGTCTTCACCTTTCCTGAGCCCTCCATGCAGTCTTCACTATGTGTCAGATACTGTAACATACTGATGTACAAACTATGCCTGTCTTTCTTTTTTACATGGTCTCTTTTCTATCAAAAACCAAACTCACTGATACCGAGGTGATTCTGATTCACAGAGACCCCCATTTGGTTTCTAAGGCTATACATCTTCATTGCAGCACAATGCCCCATCTTTCTTCTGCAGAACAGCTGGTGATTTCAAACCAATGACCTTCTGGTTAGCAGCCAAATGCCTTAACCACTATACCACCAGAACTCTCTTTTCTAAATGATACTACTTATCATTCTAACACTCCAGGGAATTGCTATCCTACTAGATCTGTATTATTTCAGTAGAATCTAAGAGTAGTCCACAACTAAGTATACTATTTCTGCTTCATTGTTTAATATATTTATGTTGCATACTAACATTCCAAGGAGCCATTAGTTTCCCCTCTTCTCTATAAAATCTGTCATCTATACTAGAAATATCCAAGACTATACTGCATTTTAAACTTGTTCATACAAGGCAAGTAAAGCGCAACTACCTTTAATTGATCCTGCTCCAGAATACCAGTTTAAAGAATTCCTTAGCTTGAATCACTTAATTCTGAGAAGTGCTCTTACTTCTTCATCAAGGGGAGGACTCCATCCTGGCTAGTATACACATTCTTCCCCCAAAATCTCGCCATTTTTTCTAATCAAAGTTTCTCTTCAATTCCAGTTGTATAGCCAGGACTTCAATTATAGGGTGTTTCTGACCCAAGGTAAACTACTCACTCAGTTTAACAATGAAGTTAAAATGTGTTCTGACACTTAAAATGATTCACCTTTCTATACTCAGGATCTGATATCAGAAAGTGTTAGTGTATGTTCAATGAATGTAATCTGCATTTTCCTTAAGCAGTAACATTTGGAAGAAATAAAAATATTACTCAACTTTGTTTAATCTCAACTCCAACACTGTTTTCCAATATTCTCACTGCAACTGTTTAGAATTTCAGCTATATAAGGCATTTACTACATCATTTTACGTGCTAGCCTGAACATCTAATAATTGCCTATTATATTACCATAAGAAATGAGGTATTTAAGTTTTAGATCACTTAGGATTATACAATTTTAGAGCCAGAATTTCTTCAGAAATTATCTCATCCAACTTCCTAATTTTGAAGTGCGAAAGTAATAAAAGGCTTGGAAATTTTACTTAGCTTCTCACAGTTAAAACAGAAACCCAGGTAGCTGAACATTTAGCAGCAGAGGTAAGCTTGATGCCAGGTATCCCAAGTCCTCATGAGTGGTCTTCCTATTACACTGACTCTCTTACAAACACATTTAATTTAGTAAGTGGAGGACTGCCCTTATTCAAACTGTTAACTGATGACAGCAATTATTTCAAATGAAATACCTTGTTGTCCAGAAATAAGTCTCTCAACTCCTTTAATTAGTTTGTGTCTATGTCCATAGGCATTAATTCCAATCTCTTTCAGCTCCTTGTGTCCCATCTCAACTAATACATCCAAGGTGATCTTTTAAAAGAGGATGAAACTGTTTAGACTCTTCTTACTCATATATATTAGACTCTTAACTTCAAATTAGATTTGTTCCCACAATTTATTACATTCACACATTTACTTAAAATTATTTTGAGCAGCTTAAAAATAAAAACAAACCAGTTAACAGAAAATGAGAAGTTGGAGCCAAAAAAAACCCCAGAAAGTTGTGTTATGACATACCAAAATTATCATTATTTTAATTTAGCATTAGAACCTGAGCAGAAATAAACTGCACTACAAAAATGCATTTTCAAATTAACTGCATTCAGGTCTTTTTTTTTTTTTTTTAATACACTTTATTGAAATATAATTTAGGTATAGTGAAAGACACAAAACTAAAGTGACATGAGTCAATGCATTTTTTTTTTTCCTTTTTTGCAGCATTCCTGCCCCTCCCTTCTCACTCCAGGTCTACTATTTTATCTTGGAAAAGCAGATTTTCTTTTCTTTTTTTTAAATTGCAATTTGGGTGAAAGTTTACAGAGCAAATTCACTTTCCATACAGCAGTTCACATACACTTTGTCTCAGGACATTGACAAGGATTTACCCCAATGCATCAGCTCCCCTCCCACTTCCTCCCATAGTTACCTCTTCCCTGTGTCCTTCCCTTCATGCACTCCTGCCCCCTGAACCGTCTCCCTGTGTGTACACAGCCCTTCTATTCTCCCATGATTGTTCTCTCCAAGGAGTGTATCTACCTAATGTAAATGTTCAGCTCATATGCCTGTCTTTTGTTTGGCTAGAAGCCACAGGAGTGGGTTCAATTCCAGACCCAAAGGGCAGTTAGGGGCCATAGTCTCAGTTGTTCCATCAGGGTCTATCAGACCAGCAAACCTGGTCTCCTTTTTTTTTTAATCAAATGATTCTGAGTTTTGTTCCACATTGCTCTCAAACTCTATCCAGGATCTCCTACATAGATCCCCCTCAGAGTGGTTGACAGTGGTAGCTGAGCACCATCTAGTTCTTCTGGTCTCATAGTCATACAGGGTGAGAATCACATGGTGTACCAGGTGCTTGGACTAATGGTTTCCATGAATCTCTGGTTTTCTTCATTATTCTTTGCTCTGGATGAGGAGAGACCCATTGTTGTATCTAGATGACCGCTTGCAAGCTTTTTAGGTCCCAGTTGCTACTCGTCAAAGTAAGATATGGAACAATGTTTTGTGTAGTATGTTATGCCAATTGAACTTGATGTCCTCTGTGACTATGGTCCTGAGCCCACAGGTCCACCTACTCGGTCCCTCTGGGTAGCTGGCTGTGGCCAAGAAGTGACTACAACCTTGTCTCTTGTCAGCTCTACTATATGGAAAAGCGGATTCTTTTCCATCAACACTTTACATATACCTCTCATACAACGCCTTCAATGGTTCCTTCAGACTTCAGCATATGCTAACTGGTATTCCTCTACCATTGTTCAAACTCATCCTTTACCCCAAATAAAAATGTTCCATTTTGTGAAACTTCTAAGGCCGTTCTTTATAGCACAGCTCAGGAATTTCTAAAGTCTACTTCAAAATTTTAACTGTGGCTCAAACCTATCAGTCCCTCTGCAGAAGAAAGGCAGGGCAATTCACTTCTATAAAGATTTACCACCTTGGAAACCCAATGGAGGTTACTATGAGTTGGAATCAACTTGATGGCAGTGGATCTGGTTTGGTTTGGTAGGGGTACATGTCTGCAGTAATTATATTTTCTGAACCACACACATACACACATACACAGAGCCCAGATTTATGATTGGCATATCCATATATTTCCCTATAGCAGTCAGAGAAATCTCAGGGTTAGAGAAGACAGCAACTGACATAAAAGAACTGAACAAATGGAGTTCAAGGGAAACTTCAAGACCGAATAAGCTAAACTTTACATTCAAGGAAGCTATTTTATTATCACTATATATGCTAATAAATTCAGTGGAAATTCCAAGAAAAAGCCAAATTTAAAAAGTAACTTATTTCCAGTCTCTTAAAAACAACTGCCCCCCAATAGTTTGAATGGTTCAGGGCATTTTAAAAAACATACACACTTAAAAAAAAAAAAACCCAAGTTGCCACTGAGTCAACTCTGACTCACAGCAACTCCATTTGTATTCCTCAATTTTCTCGATAAAACATGAATTAAGCAGTATAATTCACCTACTCACCTGTTCTCTCTCAAATATATCCATCAGATGCTCAAGTCCAAGATTCCTTACAAATTGAGTTATGCTAAAATCTACACCTGGAACTGAGGGGAAAGAAAAATGCATAACAAAATTTTGCATCAGACTAATGACTGTCAACATTGTAACAATTAAGTTTCATGATATTACTATATATAGGAGTTCTGGTAGCATAGTGCCTAAGGCACTTGACTGCTAACCAGAAGGCTGGCGGTTCAAACCCACCAGCCACTCCTCGGAAGGAAGGTTGGGCAATCCTACTTCCGTAGTGATACTGCCTCGGAAACCCAAGGAGGGGTCGCTATGAGTCGGGGCCAACTCGACAGCAAACAACAACAACAACAACAACATGAAGAACATAAAGATAAAGGAAAACAGGACTAGCTACTTGGGATAATACGGAATGTAACGTTAAAAATGGCAGAGAGAAAGCTGTAAAATTTCAGTATCATCAGAAAAACAGGACATTCTCAGGATAAAGAAAAACCTTTTAATTTATTACTTCAAACTTTTTTTTCACTAGATTTTTAAATTCAGGGTATAAGCTAGTTCATGATAAAGACTAAGAAACAAGCTCCATAATGTTGCACAGGGCCAGATAAACTTAGAAAGGTAAAAAGAAGAGAGACTAGCACGACAGACATTACAGGGATATGTATCCCTTTCTAGTGTCTTTTTTACAAATATACTTCAAAGCTGAGTATTCTGACATTGGTCAAAGGTATAACCCCACACACTGGAAGAAGTAAATACTAAAAAGCTAACTACTCAACCAAAAAAGTGCCCTGGTGGCTCAGCTGGGCACCATCAAAAGGATGGTGGTTTGAATTCACCAGCCACTCTGTGGGAAAATGATGTGGCAGTGAGTTTCTGTAAAGATTTACAGCCTCGGAAACCCTACTGGATAGTTCTATTCTGTCCTTTAGAATCACCTAGAGTCAGAATCAACTTGATGGTAGTGAATTCTACACCTTGAAAAAGCACAGTTACATCTAAAGTGTAGATGAACAGCCTAAGATTCATCAACTCTCAAGTTGGAAAGAGAAAATTCATTAGAAGTTCTATCAATATTGTAAAGAAAACAGTAAATGGCTAAAATTTTCAGGCTATGATAATTAATTTGATACCAACAGTAATATTTTAGGTTTAAAAATTATTTATTAGCATTCCAAAAGGACAAAGAAAATCCAAACCCACTGCTGTCAAGTTGATTACGAACTCATAGCAACCCCCATAGGGTTTCCAAGGTGGTAAATCTTTACAGACGTAGGTTGCCCAGTCTTGCTTCCATGGAGTGGCTGGTAGGTTGAAACCACCCACCTTATGGTTAGCAGTCAGATACCTTAGGCACTGTGCTACCAGAGATCCTTTCCAAAGGACAAAGGGGCTACAATACCAGTTAAAAAGTTATTTTTGCACAATGTCTCACCCTCCTTTTTGTCCAAACTGGAAGTACTCTCTGTTCCACTTGAAGCAACTACTGAAGAGAGTTCAGAAAAACTTCCAGATAAGTTGTCAAGACTACTGGCTGCAGAAAGGCTTGACGGACTGGATGGGCCTGAAGACAGAGAATCTGCAGTGGCTCCTGGGCTTCTGACACCATTGAGCACTTGTGGTTTATAACATGAAGGCAGAGCGGAAGGGGGCATGGCTGCTGTCAGGAGAGCACTGACATCATCTGCCTAGGGTACACATCAGAGAGACAAGGAATCCACCGTAAGTTTTACAATTCTATTACACGCAATAGGATGTATTTTCCTAAATATAAAAATATGACAAAATAATAGCAGATTTGCACTAGAATTTATTATATAAAATAGATCATGCTAATTAAATAGTAAAACAAACCAGATGATATTCAGCTAAATTGTTATAATACAAAACGTAATTCAGAACACCTCCAACACACAGAATCAAAATAACTGTTCATGTGGCAAATCATGAGGAACGTCCCAAGTTTGAGTACCAGGATTTAAAAGCATTGAAATGGAGTTACAGAGTATCAGTTGAAAAAGGAAGACCTTTTAATTCTATCATTATTACTCTGAAAGATGGAACTCCACCTGTGTGGAACTTTGGCAAACAGTATGATGTTGGTTTTTCTTAGAAAATATTCAACAAGATAATTTTAATCAAATCTGCTAAAACATGACAAAGTCCTCGAATGTACTAGTACATTAATTCTTTTAATTAGTGACATATGCCATTCTTTCACAATGCCGAAGTAGGCCACTAAGTAATTAACATTTGGCAAGAAGTGTATCGGTGCTTGTTTTCACTGTTAGTCATTTATACTGACTATTCCAGTCCTCACCTTTTTCTTTCCCCTAGTCCAAGGACTCCCATGGCTTTCACAGTTTGCATATAAAATTTGTTTATAATAATAGTACCATTTATTGGGTGCTTATTATCATCAACCTGGTATCATGCCAAGGACTTTAAGTACATTATTTTAATTCTCCTCTTAACCGGATCTATTTTATCCCCATTTATAGATGAAGTAACTGAGGCTTAGAGGTTAGGCAACTTGCAAGATTATATACCCAAAAATGGTAAAGCTGGACTTCCAAGTCAGGTTTGTTTGACTCTAAAGCCCACACATGTTCTCTAGAGCACTTAGTTTCACCATCACTTAAGTCTATGTGGCAAACCAACATATGGGCAGACTGACTTGTGAAAGTTCATTTCTAAGTGAGTTGCTTGGAACTAGAAAGACATTTTCCTGAAGAAATAATGTTGCAAACATGGTTAGGTTGTCAATCTGTTGAGGAAAATCTATATAACCCCAATGCAGCTGAACTAAATCAGCTTCTCATTGTAACTTAGAAGAATGGACTCTCTCTCAGTAGAACAGTCTGTAGAAGAGACTCCTCTCCCTCCCCACCTCAGAAAGAAGTTCTTCCCCTTTCCTTCCACTGCTTTGGTCAATGTTCTCAGTCACTGAGGCCACAGTGGCTAAAGCAGAGGTGGAAGCAATACTGGAGACTTCTACATGAGTTCTTGCGGGAGGGGAAGGAAAAAAGGACCTCCACGGAAAACTGGAGTAACAGGTTTGTTTCACGAACATTCTGGTGGGGTACGCAATGAGAACGCTGGGGGAGTGTGGGAAAGAAGTAGGCTTTGTGGCAACACCCTGAGGGCAATATGCCTAGTTGGGGAAGTTCATAAAGACTCTCGGCCTGTATTATCTTATATTGTAGGCACTGTAACAGAATTTACTGAAGGCCTGTGCCTGTTTTAGTTCCCAACTAATGCAATAAGCAATTCTATCTTATACTTTTTCTGTTTCCAAAAGTACTCAGTATACAGTAACTGACTGATAATGCTATTATTTACTTACTATCTTTTAATACCAAGGAAGTTTCAAATTTAAAATTGGACTAACAATCAGTTTTTGCCACAATCACTATGAAGATATTTTATATATACACCAAGTGAATTTTAAAGTCAGGAAAGTATTAAGATTTTTCAGAGAGCCCATCACTTACTGAAACTAAATCTAAAGGTGTTTGTCCTTCCTGATTTTTAAGAGTAGGATCAGCTCCGTGGGCCAACAATAAAGCACAAAGCTGTGTTCGTCCCTTTTGGGCTGCTTCGTGCAAAGGTGTGAAAGCCCATTTGTCCGTGGCATTGACACATGCATTATACTTTATTAGTAAAGCTGCTACATCTACATGCTGTAAAAGAAAATACTCCTGTTATAGTCTGAAATGTTATTTTATATCACACTTTAGTTCTTAAGAAGAAACTAGCTGTATACCTACTTCCATTAATTTCAAACTTACTCTGGAAATGAAAAGAAAAAACATGTTTCTCCCAAACATAATTTATGGGTAGTTGATTAAAAAGTACACTGGACGTTTCAGTAACTTGAAGAAACTCCTTATAAAATAGCTAAGAATTCTACACAGAAGGAAACTAAACTAATGTAACCTTAATCCTTCCTAATTCACTGGTGTGTTATTAACTCTTGAACATCCATTTATAAACTGTGTTGCTACTATGTGCTGTCAGCTGATTCGGACTCACAGTGACCCTGTAAGACAGAGTAGAACTGCCCCATAGGGTTTCCTAGGCTGTAGTCTTTATGGGAGCAGATTGCCAGTTCTTTTCTCCCACAGAACAGCTGCAGGGTTCAAACCACCGACCCTTTGGTTAGCAGCCTAATGCTTAACCACTGTGCCCCCAGGGCTCCTATTGATGAACTAGCAGTATATAAATGGTATCATTTATTCAAACTATACCATTGAAGATGGTCAACACTAAGGAAGTGCATTTCACATTCAGGGCTGTTATAAGTCAGGAATAATGCATCTGAATCTCTACTGACTCCTACGAATCCCAGTGAGGTTTTTTTGGCACCAAAAAATAAAACAAAATCACCAATATCTCACTGAAATAAAGAACAAGAGACAGATGCTAAAGAAAACAATGAAACAAATGACAACAACATGTTGCATGTCACAAGACAAGCTTAGAGTAGATTCAGAATTGGAACTTGGAAGTTATTTAACCTCTTTGGCCCTCATAATTACTTCTCTGTAAAATGAGACAGTCAAACTAAATTCCCTTTGAACAGTAACAATGACTTCCATTTTGAAAATTTCACGGATTTTTAAAGGTAACACAGAAAGAGCTTACCCCATAAGATGCTGCATTATGTAAAGGAATTAGCCCTCCTTTGTCTTGGGCATTCACATCAGCTCCATGTTGTAACAAATACTCTGCAACTTCTAAATTGTTGTAACCAGCTAATATTAAAAAGAAATAAAATTACTTTCACTCCTCAATATGACTTATGTAACTTCTAAAAGGCTTTAAGGTTTATTATCATCAGGAGAATGAAAAGCTTTAACAGGCACATTTTTCAAGTTTCTGTAGCTAAAATTTAGTCATCAAAGAGAACTTAAACATGAGGGTGACCTGGAATAAAGGGTTCTAAAGCACATGAGGCCTGGCAGAGACTGTTTCAATTGTTCTTACTGAATTTAACATACCAATACTAACTGAACTGGTACTTAGCTAACATGACTGATATATGGTTCACCTCAATGAGGTGGGGTATTAGAAGGTATCTGGCTGGAATTTTTCAGATTTGCTTACAGAAAATATTTTACTCATGTAAAATGACTCTTAGATGTCACCAATCTAAATCTGTGAAATTTCATTCACTTACCTGCTAAATGTAATGGTGTTGAATGTCGGCCTTGGGTATCACGGCAATTTACGTTATCAGGTGAAGACAACTTCTTTACTCTGGCTAGACAACCCTTCTTGGCAGCATCTAGTAAAGCTGCATCTCCCCGAAGTAGATCCTGGATATCTGTATCTCCATCTTTAACAATATCTAAAGGAGTGTTTCCGTCTCTGTTTTTCTTTGTAGGGTCTGCGCCATGCTAGGCATATGAAAAACAGAAAGGAAGGATCTGGCTTAAGTTTGTTCTTGGTCATGAGAAATAAGTGACTATATCAAAGAAAACCACTCTGAGACTACCTTAAAGGATAATATTTATTAATGTTTCGTTTATACATAGAAAATTATAATAGCAATTAAATACTATTGGGTTTTTATTATGCAATAATATAGTACAAATTTTAAACTATGTTCAAAATAAAGCAGTATCAAGAAAAAGTATCATCTATTAAAAATGAACTATTTCTAGTTTTCATCATCACGGGAAACCTTTCTTGTGTTTGTTATAAATATCTACACTGATATATGTATTAGTACCATCAATTCCAAATATTTTGAGGTTAAACTATTACATGTTGTTGTTGTTGTTATGTGCCGTCGAGTCAGACCTGACTCATAGCGACCCCTCCTTGGGTTGCCGAGGCAGTATCACTACGGAAGTAGATTGCCCAACCTTCCTTCCAAGGAGTCGCTGGTGGTGGGTTTGAACTGCCAGCTTTCTGGTTAGCAGTCAAGTGTCTTAGACACTATGCTACCAGAGCTCCCAAACTATTATATAGGAAAAATTAAAACAGATAACTATCACATGATGCCAGCTGACTTTATACAATAATAAATCTATGTGTGATAAACATACATTTAAACTGAAATATAAAATGTCATCACATTCTGAAATCTAGGTAGAGAATTAGATAACTTTGCTTCCTACTCCTTTATTAACTTAAGTTTAAATTAGAGTTATTACAAGTATCATAAATATATTCTATGTAATATACACTATCCACAGTAAGTACTTAAATATACCTGAAGCAGAAGTTTGCAAATTTCATATTTTCCTTTTGCTGCAGCTTCATGTAAAGGTGTAAATTTCCATAAATCAGCTACATTAACTACTGCTCCATGCTTAACAAGAAGCTCTGCAACTTCATAATGTCCGTAAGAACAAGCATTGTGCAAAGGTACAAGGCCCCTGGAATGAAAGTTAGATGAGCAGTGCAACAGATGGCAATGTTTTAATTTAAATAAATTACATATAACTGATGAAACACTTTTTTCTTAAGCTATGTAAAGAATTATACTGATTGTATTTTGCAGAACCTAAATCTACTAAAAGTAGAAAGTAACTTCCTTATTTGGGGAAGGGAGAAATTTTCAAAAATATTTAAAAATACAGAGACTAAAACAAACAACTACATATTCATTATCTAGACTTGAGAACTGTGTATTCTGAATGAAAATTGATTTTAAGATAAATTGAAGGATTCAAAAATTCTCAAAGAAAATTGATAATTTTACTATAGTAAAAATTAATACCACACTAAAGTTGTAATCTCCTTTACTATTATAAAATTCTTAACAAGGCATTATGCAAATAAGTCCATATAAATGCTAATCAGAAAATCTTAACTATAATTAAGAAGCTATATTTAAGCCAGTGTTAGGAAACAGATTTCCTGGAAAGTACATTAACAACTTTCATAAAAGTATTTTCAGATTCTCTAAAAAAATCAGATCAGACAAAAAAGGCTGTAACAAAAAAGATACCCTTTATCTTTAGCATGCACATCAGCTCCATGTTGCAAGAGAAATTCGACCACAGATACCCTGTTATACCCAGCTGCAAAATGAAGTGGTGTAGACTGACGCCCTTCAATATCTCTGCAGTTGACACTCTGAACAGTACATAATTTCTGTAGGATGGAACACAGGAAACATATGATGGTCCATACTCTGACAAATGGCATAAAATTTATAATGCTTGTTTGATTCAAATACCTCATCTATTTTCTTGTTTCATCAAATCAGAGTTCTCAAAAATGATTTATTATTTATTCTTCTTATTTCATGTTGTCATTTCTAGGAATCCCTGAGGGTCTCTCATCTATGCTTTTGCTTCAACTTTTTCTAAAGGCAGGAGGCCAATTTTATGATTGCCACTGTTACTATTTACATAAAGGTAACCTAAGCATCAAATATCAGCAATTACAATTTCCATTTTGTGGCAAATATATGTAGTGGAGGGAGCTCTGGTGGCGAAGTGCCTAAGGCATTTGACTGCTAACCAGAAGGCTGGTGGTTCAAACCCACCAACCACTCCTTGGAAGGAAGATTGGCCAATCTACTTCCTTAGAGATAATGCCTCGGAAACCCAAGGAGGGGTCGCTATGAGTCGGGCCTGACGTGATGGCAGTGAGTTTGGTTTGCTTTTGGATATACAGTGGTACACTGGATCACAGTGCCACAGGCATCAGCTAGCTAGGAGACTTAAAAATTTAAGACTTACATTTTAACAAGATCTTTTGGTGGTATGTAAGCAAATTCAAGTTTGAGAAATACTGCTGTACACCAAGGGTTCTCAAACTTTCGTGTGCACTGAGCCCTACTCCCAGTTTCTATTTAGTGGGTCTGAGAATTTGCTTTCTAACAAGTTCTCAGCAAGGTTGTGAACCTGTTCAAACTGGTTCAGGCTGATGAAGCAAAACTGGACCAGACCTGAATTTTTAAAATTTGGGTGATCTGGAATGATAACCAGGATGGGAAAAATTACAGGTGAAAGCTCTGGAACAGGAGACTTGAAACATATAGAGAACCCTTTCAGGAGGCTGATGCATGAGACTGGATTACTGGTAGGACTGAGGACAGTGACATACAAAGTGGTGTGATCAGCCACCATCTTCAAGCAGAGCACAGCTATTCAGACTCTGCTCAAAATGCAAAATGTAAGAGATGTGGTTTCCAGGCAATGTGTAGTGTATGCTGCCCTTCTTTTCTAAGAAGGAGATTAAGTTTCTAGTAGGGCTTTGACATGCAATTTTTCCCATCTTGGTTCACTCAAATTTGAAAATTTTGGATCTGTTGCAGTTTAGCTTCCTCAGGCATGAATGAACAAGGAAGAGCCAGTTTGAAGCACTGGTTCTCATTGATGCTGATGCTCTGGTTAAGGCCCTATAGGGGAAAATCATACTGCAGTATGGAAAGAACTACCTAATAGAATGTTATTAGTTATGTATTATCCTTGGGAGAATTAAGAAAACATTCACTCAAATAATTTCTGTGCTCTTTGATTCAGATGAGGAAACTAGTTGAGAAAGGCTGTAATACTCAAAATATGTAAAAGTCTTGAGTATTGTATAAAGCATGGAAATTTGGGGAAGCAATAAATCACAGTGCTCAAGAAGTCAAAAGAGTATCAATGTTAGTAAAAACTCTTTCCTCCTCTTTCACTATCCTACCCTAAAACCAGGTATAACCTAAGCCCAATAAGCAGAGGTGCCAGTTATCAGTGAGTTTACCTCAAGGGCTTAATCAAAGGACTGGTCTCTGCTTTGCAACAAGAGCTTGCTAGACATAGAGATTTAGGGTCTCATATAAGAGACGGTGTTTTAGTGGGTCTGAAGTGGGACCCTAGGAATGAATATTTTTAATGGTTACACTAGGTAATGCTAGGTTTGGTACTTATTCTGGCACATTTACAGTATGATGGATCAATTTTGTATGGCCTTTCTCACCACAGTCTTGTGAGTTCTAAAGAACGATTGAGTGGGACTATACAAATAAAGTGCTTGTGACCCACCAAGAGGAGTGAACAACCTGCTAATATGAATAAGGTGCAAAGAACCCCTGGGGGGGTGGAAGCATGCATAGATTGTGTATGGAACCCTAAACAAGGGAACTGGTCAGTTTTGCCATCTTACTAGGCTTAATAGAGAGCCAATTCCAGAGCACAGGGGTACCCTGACTACCACCGAGAAGAGACAGAAGCCGAGTGCATCCTTTGGACTCAGGGTCCATGCACTGGGAACCTCCTAAACCCAAGAAACAGAAAGTGAGCGAGTGAGCTGTAACACTGGAGATGGACGGTGGAAGACGGCAAGAAGTGGCGGCAGACAGACAGTGGCAACAGGGGCAGCAGAACCAGGAGGCCAGCAACGGGAAATGGCAGGGGATGGCACAGTGGATATGGCGACCTGTAGAATGAAAAAGCTGAGCACTTTGAGGCAGGAGATGAGCTGGTGGAGTGGGGTGCCTCCAGGCACTTGGTGGCAGAGCTAAAAAGTTTTATTACACTTGCCCAAGCAGGCCAGAGGCCAGGCTGAGAGGCCAAGGGTCAGAGAGGGGCCTACTTGAGGGAATGGCTGAAAAGAGGGTGTCTTTTTTGAAGAACTGCATCCTGAGTGTTCTCTTCCCTAATAAACCTTCTAACTGTGAGAATGGTCTGTGAGTGTGGCCACTGCATTGAATTATTGAACCCAGAGGAGAAACAGAATACAGTGACAGGGATGGTTGGTGTTAGAATTGGTAAAAAGGCTAGGGAGAGGAGGTATGACCTCTGCCTCACAGGAAGCAGTCTTGGGTGGCTGATGCTGATGATTATCCTTTCCCCTGGTAAAGTTCCCTTATGAAGTTAGAGGAGGTCAGATGCCTCCTCCATGCCATTCTTACACCGCTCTGCTCCCCAAACCTTATTTTTATACATTCTGGCACAGGTTTTGTAGTATTAGATGTCCAATGAAGTATCTAGCTTAATGGATCACTACTAAGCAAACAAGTGAGTACATAAATAACTGGGTAATATGCAAATGTTCATGTCCCAGTGATTCACAATGAGTCATCTGACTAGAGATAGGTAAGGAACAGAAAGAATGACAAAGATATATTTCCATTACATGATTTTAAAAGCAGGCGAGGGAAGCCAGTTTGATCACATGGAGAGAAAGGGGAGATGAAGGTCTTCTCTGACCCAGTGACAATATGTTTGTTCTCTAATTCCTACCCTTAGCCTCATCTTTTCATCAATCTCTTCCTCTAGACCGCTATCCTTATGAAAACAAAGTTGTCTTTAATATCATGTTTACGGAATATAATTTTGTGTTGTCTAACATATGAAAGCATACGAGTATTTTAAGTTTTTTTAATCATACCTACTCCCGCAAAAAATCCACTAGATGCCTTTTAACTAGTTACCTTGAAAATTTTATCTTTCCCCACCCCTCCTAATAAAACGTCAGCTCACTACCTGATTTGTTTTTTCTGCAAGTCAGTAGCCAATAACAGAAAGAAAATCCTCCTCACAATACCCTATTAGTCTCCTACTTAAGTGAGTTAAACTGTAAATATAAGTCATGGTAAGGAATAAAACAGCATTATTCTTTGAAAAAGAAAAAAATCTTAAGTTATTTGGAGACGACTGTACTGTTTACAAGGAGCTCTACTGGTTAAGGCATATGGCTGCTAACCAAAAGGTCAGTGTTCAAACCCACCAGCAGCTCCATGGAAGAAAATGGGATAATCTGTTTCCATAAAGATTTACGGCCTTGGAAACCCAATGAGGGTCATTATAAGTTGAAACTGACTCGATGACCCTGAGTTTGGTTTACTCTTGTACTGTTTACAGAAGATAAAACTACAGGAAAGGATTATGAGGATTTTTAAATTAACTTCCAGAAAACTCTTCATCTGAAAGGACAGTGAATAGATTCCCTTAGAACTCAAGTTCAGATAAGACCAGCATTCACACTTCTCAGAATATTTAAAATTCTGAACTTTGTTGGGTGGGTCTATGCAAGACTTCATAGTCACACCATACTGAAATTGCTTCAAAACCTACTTCTGCCATGAATTAAATCAACAGATTTAGCTTTCTGTTAAAGTAATGACCTGTTAGTACTCCCTGACAGGTAATCAAAATAGTCGTTTTGAAAAACTCTGTGAGGAAAAGAAAACCCAAGATCTTTTTCCTCCCTACTAAACTCACTGCCATCGAGTCAATTTCGACTCACAGCAACCCTACAGACAGAGAAGAACTGCCCTAAATCATTTCCAAGGCTGTAATTTTTAAGGAAGTAGATGGCTTTATCTTTCTCTCACAAAGCAGTTGGTGTGGTTGAACCACTGACCTTTTGGTTAGCAGCCCAATGCTTTAACCCCAACACCACTAGGCTCCTTTCCCCTCTATCAGCTTTTGAAATTTAAAATAAGAGCTTTGAAATTATTGAGGAATTTTTAATGAAAAATATGAAATGAATTTTATGTTAGTTGAATTATAAAATTCTCACTCTTGAAAAAAGGTAGGTTTCTGAGTTATTTACTTGAATACACAGTTTAACAGAAATATCTGGTATAGGCATTAAAACATTACATGTCTTTCTATAAACAAAACAAACCCACTGCCACTGAGTCAATTCTGACTCATAGTGATCCTTTAGGGCAGAGAAGAACTGCCCCATATGGTTTCCAAGACTGTAAATCTTTAAAGCAGGAGGCTTCATCTTTCTCCCACGGAGAAGCTGGTGGGTCCAAAGTGCCAACCTTTTGGTTAGTAGCCCAATGTTTTAACTACAAGGCCACTAGAGCTCCTTATGATTCTATGCTAAAAAGCAGAACAGAATCTGAGGATTATTTCAGGGTAGAATGCATAAGAGATGGGGGAAATAAGAGCTTCAGCTGGCTGCTCTGAGAAAGATAAGAGGGGAAAAAAAAATCCACGTGGGTAATTATGAGACAGTACCTTTGATTCAATGGCAATTCTATATTATTACTATATTTAAACACTGAGTCCCCAAAAGCAGAAGTAGAGAGGGGCAGAGAAAGGAAGAAACCAGAAAAAAAATGTATAGACAGAAGTGACTCATAGTTTAGGTTTTTTCCCTTCTTGTTTTACGCATCATATGTAAACAATAATGGACAATAATGTGATATACTTTGTTCCTTTAAAAGGACAAATGAATGGGTTCTTTAAGCAAAATGCATTTACTATTTAAATTTGTGAATGTAACTTACTGAGATGCATGTAAAACTAAAAATTCTTTTTCTTTCATTACCCAATGCTCCTTACTTGCACAGAACTAAGTTTTACTGACCTTTAAAATAAAGCACATATAAACAACTAGGTTCTTCATGAGAACAATGCAGATTAACTAAATAATGTAAAAATAAAGCCCCCAAATCAGCAAAAACATAACTTACTTTTACAGTTTCTACATCTCCAGCCTTTGCAGCTTCTAGCAATTGTCTGTCTGCCTCTGAATTACCTAATGGTATACCCTCTAAAAAGAGAGAAAGAGTGATTAACTCCCGTTTAGAAGGCACATAAATTATGTAGGAAATTTCTATCATAGGGGAAAAATAGTAAGATTCTCTTAAAATTTTTTGAAATAGGTATATAAACCTATGTACGCAAAAGTTTGTAATTCTAAAATATGATTTAAGTAATACAAAGGGACATAAAATGATGATGACAGGTGGCTTGCTCTATAAGCAAGCCATGTGGACAGAGAGAAAAGTATTAAAATAGCAGCAGAATGGCCAGAGATCTAAGTGTGGTTCTGCCACTTGCTCTGGCTCAGACTTTTTTCAGTTTCTAGAAGTTGGACTAGATATCTCAATTCATTTTCAGCTCTGAAATTCTGTTTCTATAGTACATCTAAGATTACATATTAAAGGAAGAAAAGATCTACCTTATACCTTATAACAAAATAAATTCTAGATGGATTAAAGATGTAAGTATAAAAAAATTAAACCTTCTGAGTACTAGAAGAAAATATAAGTGAGTATTTTTATGTCTTGGAATAGAATAGGAACACATCAAAGGCAGAGCCTAAAAAGAAACATGATTTGGAAAAAGATCTGTCACTAATCACATAGCATTAAATAAAGTTATAAAGCAAAGAACAAAATGGAAAAAAATATCACAATACGTATCTTAGAATATATTCAGTATATAAGGAGTTCTTTTGAGAAGAACATCCCAGAAGACTTCAACAATGGGCTGAGGACATAAGTAATTCACAATGAAATCAAACAGAACTAGCCAATAAACACTTCAAAAGTATGTTTAAATTTATTCATAATCAGAAATGCAAATTAAAACAAGATACCTTTTTTTTTTTTTCCCCATTCACTACTGGGCAAAGAGGTAACTGGGGAAGGGCAACTTACAATATTTCTATAGTTTGCATTAAAAAAGTATCCATTAGTTCTATAATCAGCACACACACATCAAACCAAAGAAAATATAAAGAATGATAGTACCTGGTGCTGATGAGTAAACAAGATTCCTTCAAACATTGTTAGCAGGAGTGTGAAATGGTACCTAGGACCTTTCTAAAGACAATCTGATAAGTATATGCGACCCTTTGACCTAAAATTTCACTTTGATAATTTATTTTAAAAAACTAACTGGGAAGATAAGTAAAAATATATGTAATAGCAGTTAGGATAAAACTAGAAAAGACTGTAAATGTTCATACTAGAAAACTGAATAACCAACCAGCTGCCACTGATTGACTCTGATGGCAACCCCATGTGTGTCAACAGAACAAAGCAGGAGGGTTTTTGGTAGCTGATTTCTAGAAGGAGATCACCAGGCCTTTCTTCCAAGGCACGTTTGAGTGGACTTGAACCTCCAACCTGACTTCAGTTAAATGAGTGTGTTAACTGTTTGCACCATGCAGGGACTCTAGGCAACTGAGTAAGACTAACATTATCACCCCAAATCTGACACTGAAATGGCTGTGTGGCATGTAGGAGAGGTCAAAGGAATCTTGAAAGCAGCCTTACAGTTCAATTCTGGCAGATCCCAGAAGGTTTTATCGCTCTACCTCTATTGATTTAATGAGTGTTTCTCAAACTGTAGTTGCCAGACCACAGGCAAAAGAATCAGTGTGATTCTTAAAGGTACAAAAGGCTTGATATGTTACATTTTCTTTCCATCTGAGCTTTTAGACTTCTAAGCTACTTCATTAAATTCTAATAAACGCTAGAGATATAGACAAATACACTTTAAAATTTATGGGAACAATTTAGAAATTGACAGTGCTGATGACTGCACAACATGATGAATACAATGAATGTCAATAAAGGGTACATGTTAAAAATGTTGAAACAGCAAATATTTTGTTATATTTACTATAATGGGTCCAGATTTCTAGGCTGAAATGCTGAACCTATGCCAACTGTGTGGATATTTGATCCATATATTTTAAATACAGTTAAGTATGAGAATATTCAATGGTTAAAAATGTTTCAGTAAGTCAAATCATTGCTTACCTTGCACAAACTCTACATGCCTTCTATATGAAGGATCTAAAAAAGGAGTGAAGAAGCAGGGCCAGTATTTAGGGTTTTATTTATCACTAGGGTTGCTTTACTAAGAGACTGCTGTCTTTTTAAGTTTTCTTTTTTAAATGTAAGTATCAACTACTATATCTTACTCTTAAAAGTTTTCTTGATAAAAACTTAAAACCAGTTATTTGCTCAAGAGAAATTAGATAGAAAAATGCTACTGGAACAAAATCATAATTAATACTTAACATTTGGGCACTGAATATAATGAATTAAGAAATAATAACAACAAAAAAAATCTCAATAATTTTCTTTTTACTACCAACACCTACATTGAACAACTGTAAAAAGCTTAAAGGGTGAATTTTTCAAAATTAATCCCATAGAAGCACTTAATACCTTGAAGAAGTTGCTGCACATTTTCATTTCCCATCTGTAAGGCAGTAAAGCCCTGAAGGGATATAATGTTAGGGTCACACCCGTAGCTCAGAAGCAGGCGGCAGGTCTGTAGATGACCACAATGTGCAGCTCTGTGCAGAGAAGTCTGACCAAGATTATCCAGAGCATTAACCTTAACAAGCAGAAAAAGATGAAATTAGCCTTATAATGCAAACCTTAAAACCAGCCAGCATAATACTTGCTACTAATTAAAAATCTTTATTCTTTGTGAAGCTTATTATCTAGTACCAAAGCAAGTATTTTTGCTCAAATCTAGAGCATAAACCTTCTAATTCATGAATGCTAGCATTAGCAGGAAGACCTAATTTTGGGTTTACAGTGTGAGATGTTGAGTAACAGCTGTGTTTAGCCATTAAAGCATTCATAGAGTCACATCATTTAGAGCTTGATATTAAGAAAATCTAACCTAAATGTTTTTCTGGATCTTTGAGGTTCAGAAATGTGGAGACTAACCCCAAGATAATCAGTAACAAAGCCAGAGACTAAATTAGCATTAAAACACTTATTTTTACTGGCTTAATCATCCACCTCATTTATAATGTAAAATATAATCTGTGTGGACATAAACATATATTCACACAATGGAAAATTCAGCAATAGAAAAGAATAAACTAGTGATACATTGATGAAACTCCAAAACAATATGCTGAATGGAAAAGCCTTACACAAAATAGTATATATGAATTTGTGTAAAGGTCTAGAACAGGCAAATCCAATTTAAGTGGAAAAAAATCAGACAGTTGTTGCCTCTTGGGATGGAGATTAACTGGAATGGGGCATTACCTGTGCCATGAAATGTTTCATATTCTTGATAAGAGCTTTGGTTACTCAGGTGTATGTATCAGTCAACAAATACACTCAGGATTTGTGAAATTTCATTGCCATGTAAATTTTGTATCAAAAGAAAAATTGTAAATAAATTTTAAACTCTAGTTGATGTATATGTACAAGTATTTAGGGAGAAATGTACAATTATCTACAAATTATTTTGAAATGTGACATAAAGTAAGATATACTGATGGGCACAGAGAAAAACTGATAAATATACAATAAAACAATATAGCTAAAATGTTAGTGGTACAATGTGGTGGTGGGTATACAGTTGTTCTCTGTAAAATTCTTTAAACTTTGCTGTATTTTTGAAATTCCTCATAATAAAAAAGAGCATCACCCCAACACGCTAGGAAATCATACTTCAAAATATAACCAGAAATTAATCCTGTGCGTCACTGGTGTGTTTTGAGACTTTGGTGAATTCCTATTTGGGATTAGAGAATATTTCAAAAGCCATACAGCAAGAATTTCTCAACGAACCTAAAAATGATTACCAGTAGGTAGTCTCCATATTTACAGAGCCCGAGATATCAATTTAAAATGTTACAGGTTATTTATCTATTCACATACCAAAACTCACTGTAATATGAGATACATCCACTTGAAAACTTTATTTGGGTATCATTTTGTGTTAAGATTAGGGTGATCAACTTGTCTCGGTTTGCCCAGGACTTTCCTGGTTTTAGCACTGAAAGCACTGTGTTCCTGAAAACTCCTCTGGCCTTAGCAAACCTGGATGCTTAGTCACCCATCAAGGTAGTTCCTTAACTCAAATGTAATATGCATCCAGACATTCTTTAAGCAGTGCACCACAATTATTAGAAAAGCAATCAACAAAGTTACAGAAAAGACAGACAAATGAAATACACCAAGCAGTCATGAAGAAAAATTTTATTGTATTAAACAATTTACAATAGTAAAGTTCAAGATTATACATTATCAAGAATTCTTAAAAGAGAAATTAGGACACTGAGAAGCAACACAAAAAGAAACTGCAGAATATCCTATTTTATGACATATTTCAAAATAATTTGTAGATCGAGTGGAAACCCAAGGAAAGAACCTAAGGCAGGGCAGACCAGCACACTATCCTACAAAGCCCACTTATGAATAGTCTCAGAGGCTACCCAGAGGTTCAGGCTCTCTATTCCTTCCTTCTGGATTAGTTCCATTCTTTGTGTTACACACTGAATTTCTACCAAATATTGTTTCAAGAAAGCAAGGATCTATGGCAAAAACTGTGGAAACTACTAAACTGGATAACCTGTCACCCCTTCTAATCTGAAGATACTATGTATCTTTTACTGAGTAGTATTTTTGAAAGTTCCTAGTCTTGGGGAAAGAATAACTAGTCTATGAATAAAAGGCTATGTGCATAAATGACAACTAAAGAACAGTAACTTTTCAACATGTTTTCAGTCAAATTATTTAATTAATTTATTTACTTCTGTTTCATGTGCTTTGACTTAGTCACAAAACTAACAGAGGAAAGAGTAACACTATGGCTGGCGTAAATAATAGGAGTCGTGATATAGTAGAAAAGGATATAGATACAAGTACAAAGGAATACCAGAAAATAGGTCAGAATCAGTATGTCTCCAACTGGAGATAATCTGAAAAGTGCATACTGTTAAAATAAGACCTTAAGGATAACTTGACCAGTGGGTGTAGTTAAAAGGAATAGTGGAGAAGGACATACAGGAATGATGTATTTTTTGAGCAGGTCAATAGGCTTTCTAGCAAAGAACTAGATATAGAAAAAGTATCTGCAGTCACTATTTTTAAGTATAGATTAAGAGGGAAAAAAGTAACATTTAAGACAGAGTAATAGTTCAGAAAGTCAAGCATTTCATTTGCTAAATAGAAAATAATGAAGTATACCTTTGCTTCATGTTTCACCACTACTTCAACAATGTCATTATGAGCTTTCTCAGATGCCACATGTAGAGGAGTCAAGAATCTTAAAGAGAAAAAAGTCAGCCAGACAATGAATATATTTTCCAGAAGAGAAAGTCAATAATATTTAATTATTAAAAGTATACTTACTCTTTAGTCTTTTCATTGATGTTTGCTCCTTTTCTCAGCAACAATTCACATATTTGCTTTCTTTTGGGATACGGAGATGCAGCAGCGCAATGCTAAATGATTTAAACTGTAGCATTAACCAAGGACCATACATATAATATTTAGTAAAACATTTGTGTTTCCAATTAAGAACAATCAAGGGGTTACTGAACTTCTTTTGCTTTGTTTTGATGTACTTTCACTCTTAAAAAACTTTATTGGATAGAATGCACAACAACTATCAAATTCTGATAGGGGCTAAAAATACTTAGCTATTACTAAGTATTTTGGTCAGATCTATGGCTATCCTAGATTTTTGAAAAAGCCACAAATGATGTGATGAAAACCTAAGTTAATGGACCTACATGCCTTTCAAAACTGATCCCATATAGCATGGTGTTTAAAATGTTACTCCTTAAATGTTAAGACAGTGTCTCACAGGTTGGGGTTTCTTTACATGAAGAAGTAACAGAGCATTTGCTTTTGCTTGGTAACAGCACTGATAGAACAGCTGACAAAGCATGGGTATTATTTACACCTCTCTCAATTAGTTGCTCCAGCAAAATAAGGACCTCAGACTACTACCTACATGAAAAATCTGTGGTAGAAAATAATACACCGTCAAGTTGGAGGGTGTATGTCTATGATGATCAAGGAGAAAAGGAGATGGGCTTTGTCAGTTATAAACCTATTAAAGTATCTTATAATCATGGTCTGTATCTATGCATCCTCAGCATCCAGGATGATACTCATACATACTAGGTATTCCAATAAATGTCTGAATGAATGGATGCCTAAAGCAATACAGGTTAAGTTAAAATGGAAACCCAAGAATCATGAAATAAAATCTGTGGATAATATCTAAGCTAAGTTACTCTATGCACCTAAATATACAATACAAACTTTTCTTTGATTTTAACCGACTGTTAATCATAAAGCTTATTTGATCTTCATGACTCTAGGACAAAGAAGTTTAGACTTGGTTTCTGAAGAAGCCCTGGTGGTGCAAATGGTTAAGGGTTTGGCTGCTAACCAAAAGGATGGCAGTTTGTGCCCACAGCCTCTTCATAGGATCAAGACCTAGTGATCTGCTTCCGTAAAGATTACAGCCAACAAAATCTTATGGGGCACCACTACTGTGTCACACGTGACATCTAACAACAACATCTGGTTTCTCAAAATTAAAACAAATAAAAAAAAACATACTCTTTCCCCATCAAGTCAATTCTAACTCATAGCGATCCAATAGATAAGAGTAGAACTTTCTCCTGTGGAATGGGTAGTGGGTTCAAACTGCAGACTTTCTGGTTAGGAGTCGAGTACTTACCAGGGCTCTTTCTTTCTGAAAACAGACCGAGCAATGAAGGTGCTCTTTTGTCTTTCTAAAATAGCCAGGCAGCAGGGATTACACAGGTTCTATACCTGGTGACCTAACTTCCGATAAGGGAGGAGAACATGATGCAATCATGCATATTCACTGAGGCCCCAGTAACTAACTGTGCATTATAGTCCCAGTCATGCATATTCATTGACAAAGTGACCCTTGGTCTCCTGATTGGTAAGAATATACATGAGTGACAAAGGATAGCATGTCCCTGGGGACAATGGAAGCCCCATGTGGGAAACTCTCCTAGACCTTGAAGGACGCATCTCTTAGCCTGTTAGTTATAATAAACGGGTAACTCTAAGTATAGATAATAGCCTCTGTGACTCTTGTAAGCTGTTATAGAGAATTATAGGAGCTCTGGTAGCATAGTAGCTAAGGCACTTGACTGCTAACCAGAAGGCTGGTGGATCAAACCCACCAGCCACTCCTCAGAAGGAAGATGGGGCAATCTACTTCCATAGTGATGCTGCCTCGGAAACCCAAGGAGGGGTCACTATGAGTAGGGTCCGACCCGACAGCACAAAGCAACAACAGCAACAGAGAGGCAGTGAGATTCTGACTTCAGGTTGGCTAGTTCAGAGGACTGCAGAAGCAATTATAAGAGTCCAAACCTGAGAGAAATCAGCTTTGGGTGGCTGCATGGGCAGCTGATGAAGAAGGACAAAGTCCTTCTAGCTTATTACCTAGCCACAAGGGGCTAGAGGAAGAGAGAGGCTGGCTGTCCCACAGTGCAGGGAGTTCTGCAGACTCCTGAGACTACCTGATGACCCAGGCTCGTGCAGCTGGGGATGTCTGACCTAACTCTGGGTGGTTATTGTGAGAGAGTATGTGCCACCAAAGAAGGGGCTGGCAATGAGGATCTTGGAGACATAACGTGAACCCTGGATCCATTTCCAGGTGGGAATTAGATTCACACTGATCCTTGACAAGCAGTTAGTGATGAAGGTAAAGTTTGCTCACCTTACCCCTTTAATAGTGCAGTTAGTGACAACAGAGTAATAACGTCTTTTTTTCAGATTCATCCTATAATGGGGCCATCACCAAAACTATACCTTTGCTCGCAACAAAATCATTTCTAATTGGTGAACATAGCTCCTTCGGTGTGTTAAGGGTAATCATCCAAGGAAGTTTATCAAGATCACACAGAAAATGGAAATAGTTTCTTTTAAAAAAATTCCAGATCATGGTGCCTAGCTACCACTGTCAACCACTCAGAGGGGGATCTATGTAGGAGATACGAGATAGAGTAGGAGAACAATGTGGAATAAAATTCAAAATCATTTGGGAAAAAACAAAAAAAGGGGAGGGGGGACCAGGTTTGCTGGCCTGATAGAGCCTGATGGTACCACTGAGACTATGGTCCCTGGCTACCCTTCAGGTCTGGAGCTGCACCCACTCCTGTGGCTTCCAGCCAAACAAAAGACAGGCGTATGAGCTGAACATTTACACTAGGGAGATACACTCCTTGGAGAGGACAATCATGGGAGAATAAAAGGGCTGTGTATGCACAAGGAGACAGCTCAGGGGGCAGGGGTGAATGGAGGGATGGACACAGGGAAGAGGTAACTATGGGGAGGAAGTGGGAGGGGGGGGAGCTGTTGCACTCTGTTAAATTGTAGTCAATGTCATGAGACAAAATGCATGTGAACTACTGAATGGAAAGTGCATTTGTGCTGTAAACTTTCACCCAAATCACACACACACACACACACACAAAATTCTAGCTCATGTTCTTTTCAAATTACACTCCTCTGAACCATCCTGGGGCAGGGCCTATAATCTCTGGAAACTTGGAAGAACTTTCCCCTGCACTATTACTATCCACCAGAATCTAACTACTAGTGTGTTTTAATGTTAATAAAAAAACCAAGTTGTTTAACAGCAGAATATTTGGGAGAAAATAACGTGCATTATTAGCTTTTCAGACCAGAAAAAATTTCACGACATCAGTGACTTCCTAAGTTTCTCTGTATGAGTCTGATTACTGAGTCTGATGGCTGTTATAATTTTGCATTAGCATTTCTTTGTCTGAAGCTTTGCCATTTTTTCCTGGGGTATTTCTACAAGTAGCAAAAAGGTTTAAAACGTGTATGTTGTTGTTGTTGTTATGTGCCGTCGAGTCAAACTCGACTCATAGCGACCCCTCCTTGGGTTTCCGAGGCAGTATCACTACGGAAGTAGGATTGCCCAACCTTCCTTCCGAGGAGTGGCTGGTGGGTTTGAACTGCCAGCCCTCTGGTTACAGGCAAGTGTCTTAGCCACTATGCCACCAGAGCTCCCTAACGTGTATAGATATATGTCTATGTAAACTTCACATAGTTTATATTGTAACATAAGTAAGAAAATGTACCACAAAAGATGTAAGTATGGCTAACATGAGTTAAAGAGCTCTGGTGGCATAGAGCCTAAGGCATCTGACTGCTAACCAAGAGGTTGGTGGTGCAAATCCACTAGCCACTCACGGAAGGAAGACTGGGCAACCTACTTTCGTAAAGATTTACTGCCTTGGAAACCCAAAGGGGGTCAACTATCAGTCGAAATCGACTTGATGACAGTGAGTTTGATTTGTTTTTTTAACATTAGTTAAATCTGTTTCCAAACACATTAATTTACTTTGGGTTGTCCTTCTACAACCAAAGCACATTCTGCAATCCATACAACAGGGCTTACCTTTTTCCTTCTAAAATTTCAATTTTTAAGGTAGTGTTGGATTACAATGGAGCCCTGGTGATGTGGTGGTTAAGCGCTCAGTGGCTAACCACTGGGTAAATAGTTCAAACCCACCAGCTGCTCCATGGGAGAAAGATATGGCAGTCTGCTTCCATGAAGTTTACAGCCTTGGAAACCCTGTGGGGCAGTTCTACAGGGTCTCTTAGTTAGAATTAACTCTACAGAAGAAAGTCTGGATTCCTGATTATACCACTCTCTCTCCTATCCTCTATTACTTATCCCTATTAGCTCCCAACCTTTTCTGTCTTTCCTTAGACTTCCCCACTCTCATCTACTTTCTTACAGCTCCACAGAGTTATAGTTAATCTCTATCAGGGAAGTAGCCTCTACTGATGGGGGGTGGGGTGGTGTGGGGGGAAGCAATACTACAAGGAAAAACACATGGCTTTCATCTAGATGGTGGGATTCTTTTTTACATGATTTTAAAAGAGATTCCAAATTTTCTACCATAAACCTTTCTACTCTTCATAATACTAAAAAAGCAAATGGTATGTACTATTTGTGATAATAAAAAAGTTGTAATATATGCCAGGATAGGAAGAAAATTTTTTTCTAGAAAGATATTCTAGTAATAATACTGTCTTAGGGGAGGGTAAAGTTGTCTTTTTCTGTACTGTCTGACGTTTTTCTTTATATATGTGTAGGCATTCATTTAACATTTTTAAAAAGCAGATCTTTAAAACAATTTTATTGCTAAAAGTAGCACGTGATTATTCTGTATTATCATAAGAAACCAAACCAAACCAAACCCACTGCCGTTGAGTCGGATCTGACTCATAGCGACCCACCCCTCTTTGGGTTTCCAAGGCGGTATCTCCATGGAAGCAGATTGCTCAATCTTCCTTCCGAGGAGTGCCTGACTGGTGGCTTTGAACCACTAGCCTTCTGGTTAGCAGTCAAATGCCTTAGGCATTATGTCACCAGAACTCTTATCATAAGAAGTAGGGTACTATGATTCGTTCAGCATGTTTTTGGTTATGTACTTTAAAAACTTAAATCTGAAACATTACCAGTGCTGTTTCATGAGTTTGAGGATGCTTGAAATTCACCATTTCGAGAGAGAGATGTTTTTTAATTCGTGTAACATCAGCTTCCCGTGCAGCCTGAAGCAAGGAGTGGCCTTTAAATTCATCTAGATGAAGAAAGAATATTTAAGCCCACATGAGAATTACTAAATTATACTAAAACACTTAGCATTTCCATTGAAATTTTAAAAATAATCTATTATAATAGCCAGATCTAAAATATTCTCCAAATATAACCCCTGCAAACAGAGAAAATGATATTCCAGTTCTGTTATAACCCAATTCATCTCCAAGGGCAAACAAGTAGTTCCCAACTTGTGACTTAAAATTTGAGTTATGATGAACTGCAACTATAACTGTTCTGTTTGCTTCTTGCATCTTACTGTTAGAAATATACACTACATATAAGGCTATAGTGGGTAATTTACTGATGTCATATCTGTAAGTTTACATGTAATGTTTCCAACACTCCAAGACAAATAAATATTGGATTTATAGAGATACTGATAATAAAAGGGAATTAATCACAAAAACTAAAAACAAGGTAAAAAAAAAAAAAAAAAAGGTATTAAATGTACATTAGAACCAAATTGGGATGGAGTTGTTGGAATGGAACCCCATTCTAAGTTGAGGACTACCTATACAGACTTAGTCCATGGCAGACTCAAGGTCTACTCTAATTCATCACTGGCCTAGAGAGTTCTGAGAACTTTCCAAAGAACAGAACGTTTCTCAGTAAGAAATGAAACAAAGGATGATCACAATCCCTACACTAACATTATGACAGCGGCAGATGAGTTTGTTCACACCACTCAGAGAATATTATCTCAAGACTCCTCTTTTATTGTGAAACCATTATTCATTAGCCTTTATTATTTTGGAATAATACAAGTCTAATAGGAGGTTTTTTTAAAAAATGGGTGATAATACTGTATCTGAACTAGGTTATCTATTTCTCATCACATCTACTTCAGTTATAGACAGAAAAATCACAGACCTTTGCTCAAGTATTAATAAATATTAGATGGTAAGATCTGGGGGCTATGTTATTTATAGGAGATAGCAATCCTATAAATAATACTTTACTTTCATGGCACATTATCTAGAGAGTCACTTCAAAAAGAGGAATAAAACACAAATCTTTCACTCCAAAAGCTTATCATCTATAGTAAGATCAATACATATGAAAAGCTTGTAACATGACTTAAAAAAACAAATATAATTTAATAGCATCTTAAGAGTATATCATAAATAAGCAGAAACTTCCAAATTATAAAATATGCTAGTCTGAATAACGATACCCATTGCTAAGGAAAATATCCTTAATGCAAACATTTCTAAAAAACAAGTAAGAAAGAACAATTTTTCAGGTTACTGATACAATATATTAGCTGAACAGTCATCATTGTATACTCACATGCTAATCTTTCTTTTAACTGTGGTGTAGGAGCCAAATCTATAGCACTTTTATTGTGACAATTCAGCAGTGTTGGATCTGCACCATAACTTAAGAGAAGAGAACATACTTCAACCCTGTTCTTAGAAGCTGCCTCATGAAGAGGAGTGAATTGCCACAAGTCCATTGCATTTACACAGGCACCATGCTGGGGGAGAAAAGCATATATTTAGCATCCAATTTTTGAATTATTAGTACTGTGTAATTTAATACTATTCAAGCTTAAATAGATTATGTTCGCAAAATTCCCCTTCTAAGCCAATTACTTCAGAAAGAGCATACATTTTCCTTCATGGTAAAACAGTAGGTGGTTGCTAGGCCTGCCTACAAGGGTCCATTTAACTCTTTTATTGTTAAGAATAAAAGCTTTATAATAAAGCTTTAGATCTAACTCGCAGCTTTTTTTTTTAATTGAGGTATAATTTACATATGGTAAAGTGTACAGTTCTTAAGTGTATAGTTTAGTTTTGACAACTGATACCATCCCTGAAATCAAGATACAGAACATTTTCATTACCCTAGAAAGTACCCTCATGTTCCTTTCATAGATAACATCTACTCTGATTCTACCCTTTAGCACTATACATTAGATTTACCTGTTTCTGAATTTTATACAAATGAAGTAACATGTGCCTTCTGTGTCTAGCTCTTTTGCACATATCATGTTTCTGACATTCATTCAATTCACATTGTTTTATCAATAGTTTGATTCTATCAATTTGAATACTGGTTCTCTCCTCCAGCTTCCCATTAATCTGTGTATTTCAGAAGTATCCCTTCTAATGGTTTAACAAGTCACTACAAAAAATGTACACTAAGATAAAGGCAAAGACAGAATGGAGCATCCATTAGATGTAACAATATTTCCATTCAATCTGATAAAAAACTTCAATCAACATCTACTATACAGTTGTTTAACTAGGAATCTATCTATCAGATTTTATCTGGCAGATTTCATCCCCTATCTAGCCAAATCTGTCTACTTGTTTCCTTGTATTTAGAGGCTATAAGGAAGAAGAAAAAAGTTAAGAGAATTTCTTGATATTATCATGTGATACCTTATTTGAATACCTTGGCCAGGGACCATGTGCCTTCCATACCTGGCACATGAAAAGCAATCACTAAAGGTTTGCTGTTAAATGCCAGCTGCTGGCAGACAGACTCTTTAGCGTGGGCTGCCAGATGACTCAGCATTGCCCAGAACCTCTGCCTCTACTTGCTTTCTACTGACTCCTGAATTTGTCTACTTTGATAATTGCCTGTGCCCAACTCAGCTACCTCCTCTCTATATATGACCTCTAGTCTCTCTCCCATTCTCGAAACACCAGGTCTTAGGTACACCATTCAGTTGTCTATAAATCCCAGCGCAATTTGTAATGATGTTTTACTCTCATCCATGTAATATTCCAAATGTTCTGCTGAATTTAAGATTCAGTTTCATAATAAGCAAAGCCATTATTACTATAAATACATTATACTGTGGCCACATAATAAATTTTAAAAGGCTATGAGCTACTCAAAGTATCTACTTGTTATTTATAAACTTGTTTCCATGGGAAAATATATTCCGTGGTGGTAGATGATCAAAAGGAAGCATAAAAGGCCATCAGAAACAAATGTCCTTTTTTCCTTCTCCATGACAACTGCTAAGAGAGTGAGAAAATGTACTAAAGGCGCAGAGTGGGTGCTTGAAGTAATGAAGTTAAGAAGTCTTGAGAACGTGGGTAGCACCTGAGGGAGCAAGTTGTTCAACCTGTGGGCTCAGGACTATGGTTATAGGGGACATCAAGCTCAAATGGCGTAACATACTACACAAAAATATTGTTCTATATCCTACTTTGGTGAGTAGCAACTGGGGTCTTAAAAGCTTCCAGCCATCTAAGATGCAACAATTAGTTCCTCCTTGTCTGGAGCAAAAGCAGCTCTGATGGCATGGTGCCTAAGGCACCTGACTGCTAACCATAGGGTTGGTGGTTCAAACCCACCAGCCACCCCATGGAAGGAAGACTGGGCAATTTACTTCCGTAAAGATTTACTGCCTCAGAAACCCAAAGGGGGTCAGCTTGGAGTTGGAACTGACTCAATGGCAGTGAGTTTGTTTTTTTTGTTTTTTGTCTGGAGCAAAGAAGAATGAAGAAAACCAAAGACACATGGAAATAATTAGTCCAAACGATTAGTGGATCATGTGAACTTCAGCCTACATGACCCCGAGACCAGAAGACCTAGACGGTGCCCAGCTACTACTGTCAGTCACTTGGAAAGGATCACTGTAGGAGAGATCCTGGATAGAGTGTGTGAAAAACGTGGAACAAAACTCACAATCATGAAGAAGACGAGGCTTACTGGTCTGACAGAGACTGGTGAAACCCTCAAGACTATGGCTTCTAGTCACCCTTCAGGCCTGGAATTGAACTCACTCCCGTGGCTTCCAGCCAAACAACAGACAGGTTCACCTATATAAGGTGAACATTTATACCAAGTAGGTACATTTTTAGAACAATCAATCCTGGGCGATCAGAAGGGCAGTATCTGCTCAGGGAGATAGCTCAGAGTGCAGGAATGCATAGGAACAAGGGCACAGGGAAAAGGTAACCACAGGGAGGAAGTAGGAAGAAAGCTGTTACATTATGGGAATTGCAATCAATATCATGAAACAAAATGTGTATGAACTGCCATATGGAAAATGAATTTACTTTGTAAATTTTCACCCAGATCACACTTAAAAAAAAAAAAATTAAATAGTAATAATAAAAACAATGTGGGTAGCAGATAGGCAACTACACAGGTAGAGACTGGGAGATAGAAGGAAAGGGTATGGGTATTATCCTTGGATCTACTAAAAAAGAGAATACTTATCTTCTATTCTCACCTAATAGAGATCAAAATAAGGTTCTTACCACTCTGGGGTCTTGTTTACAAAACAACAGGTGCTCAGCATATCTAAAGAAGTAAAGCTTATCAAGTGAGCCTGCTCCAACCCAAAGTGTAACTGGGCAAGTCTTACAAATATAACTTATGGTGATAATAATCTACTATTCACTAAAAATTGGCTGTTGGTGTTAGTTTTCATCAAGAATCTTGAAACTCTGTATTTTGCCACAAATTTATAGACTCATTTAATCTGCTATTTCCAAGAATAGCAGTAAATATAAAAGTGCTACTTTACATTTAGTATCTTACGGTATGCCAAGAATCTTAAAGCAGTCAGATGCTGACCTATCAATCACCTACATTTCTTTTTGCAGTGTTTCCTCAATTACCTACATTTTATGAAGTGTGTAAATACTCTTTATACACCAAGCAAATAAAAACACAGAAAAATATAGTTGTATGTTTCAAATAATTCTACCTAATTATAGAAAATAATTATTGAAATGTACAAGAGAACTTACCTTGACCAGAAGTTCAGTTACTTCATAATGACCATAAGAACAGGCATTGTGTAATGGCACCAGATCACTAAAACATGAGAAGGGAAAAAATGTCTGTGGTATTTCAGATTCCCTAGGTACACAACAAGAACAAGACCTATTTAATTTAAATTTATGCTTGAAATAGCAAATGGGTTATGTGACCTTCTAATAAAAATGTGTAAAACTAAAAACATCCATTTGAAACCTAAGTGCTCATAATTCAAACTGCCAAATCTCTCTCAAACATCTTCTTTTTTTCCACTGCTACTGTACTGTTTTAGTTGGGCCTACATTATTTTTACCCTGTATTTCTGAAATAGCCTCCACTCCAAATTATCCTCTAAACTGTAGCCAGATTCTTCTAAAAGGTAAATCTCATGTCGTTACTCCTTGTTTTAAAATCCTTCAGCGGTTCTTCCACACTTTCAAGAGGCTGTTCCAACTTCTTAGCATGGCTCACAATCATCTACCCTGTCTAACCTCACTCTTCAATGCTACACAAAACCACCTGCAGCCCCCGAATGCCTCTAGACGTACTGCCTCCTGAGTGTGGGACAGAGTTCCTTTCCTCCTTCAGTCTGGCTTACTTTCACGTATCTTTTCTAGACTCAAAGCTCAAATGCAGGTTCTTTTTTGAAAATATTTTTGAGATCTTCTAAGGTAAATTACAGTATTTCTTAAACTGAAACTCAATTCATTCACAATTGCAATGGAAAAATTTCCTATATGGATTGTAAGGCCCCAAAACCAAAAAAACCAAACTCACTGCCGTCAAGTTGTAAGGTAGGACCTCAAAATTCTGATTTCTACCTTTAAGTTTCCCTTCTTTTTAGATTCTCTCACCAATTACTCTGGGTACCATCATGATGGCCTCCTCATAGCCTAGTCTTTAGTTCTATGCCATTTCTCATTAAAGGCTCTTGGTTTTCCTCACCACTTTTGTTCAAAATTCCTTACTTTCTCTTGAACATCAATTTCAACCTCAACTATCTACCAGACATTTCCATCTGAATTTTTATCAACATCTCATAAAACCAAGAGTTCTAAGAGACAAGTTTTCCCTAAAAAACAATTTTCCTTCTTAGATTTCAATATATGTATTATTGGGTGACACTCATTCAGCTTCAGAGTTTGAATCTCCTCACTTATTGACTTGATTAGGTTCCAAAGACCAGGTCATTAGGTGAAAACTGGAGTTATAAAAAAATGCAGGATGGATGACTACATCATGACATAATTGTCAAACTACTGAGAATAATGGCCCAGCCAAGTTGACACATAACCTTAACTATCAGAGCCAGTGTTACTCTCATCTAGGACCCTGGCATTTGTTACTGGTGGATATATGTTGTTAATGTGCAAAATAGCCAGACAGTGGATTTCTTACTATTATAAATAACAAGACAGTTGACCAGGAGTGGGTGTAGCTATTTTTTTATTCCTTTTCCTCTCATCATGTCCAAACATTCAACAAATCTCATTCACATTCTTTCTTTGTAGTGTCTCTTACATCTGTATTTTCTTTTTACTTCCATTCTCCATCTCAGCTGGTGGCAGCTCTTCTGGTACCATTATAAATCTTCATTATACCCGAATCTCTATAATGCTCACTCTAGTTGCTCTTTCTTGCTTCTCCTTCCTCTCCAGTCCACCCTATATATTGCTGTCAAAATGCTCCTCTTACTCCTTTTTTTAGCACACAGTTGTCCCTCAGTATCTACAGTATTGGTTCCAGGACCCCTCATGGGTATAAAAATCCAGAGATGCTCAAGTCTCTTACATAAAATGCATGTACTTGCACATAACCAATCCTCCCATATACTTTAAATCATCTCTAGATTACTTGTAACACCTAATACAATGTAACTGCTATGTAAATAGCACATTGTGTTCTCTTTTAGCCTTTGAGGGACTACTCTGACCCACTTAATTGCTCCCCTCTCCCCAAATATTCGATCTCCAGTTGGTTGAATCCATGAACGTGGAACCCGCAGATACAGAGGGCCCACTGTGTATCATTCCCCTTGCTCAAGATCCAATAGCTATCATGGCTCAGAGAATGAAGTTTAAATTCCTTGGGCTGGAAAGACTAAGTTCTCCAAAGCCTGTTTCTTTCTGACTCATCTCCCCTATGTGAACCATCTGCTTTAGCCAAGCTAGTCTAGTCAGCTTCCTAAACTTGCTATACTATGTATGTCTTTAGCACCTTCACTCAAACCAATTTTCTTTCACAGAGTGATATTCCTCAAACTCTTGGCTTTTTAAACTGAGGCCTGCCTTTAAGGTCCAGGTCAAGTATACATCTTTCTGAATGCTTTCCTAGCCATCACTGCCAATTCCTTCCTAGGAACTCTTATAGTACCATCCCTCTTTATCAATCACCTGGGACTTAGTAGATAGCTTCTTCTATCATTAGGTATCTTTTCAAACCTCTTACACTGTAGTGTAAGCTCTGTAAGTGGTGGGCTTAAGGTTTTGTAATTCCCTATACCCTCAGAGAAATTTACATATTACACAAGCTCAATAAATGTTAATGCTGTTTAGCAAAATGTATGATGCGTAAGAATGTCCATATACATAAGAGAGCTAATGGGGCAAAGTTATGATAACTTCTTAGCCACAGCCAAACACCCTTGAAGAAATGAGTCACTGGGCCCATGGTTACAGGAGACATCAAGCTCAACCGGCTTAACTAAATATACAAATATACATTGTTCTACATCCTACTTTGGTAAGTAGTGACTAGGGATCTTAAAAGCTTGCAAGCAGCCATCTAAGAAGCAACAATTAGTCTCTCCTCATCCGTAGCAAAGAAGAATGAAGAAAACCAAGGGACTAGTGAACCACGAACTTCAGCCTACGTGGCCCTGAGACCAGATGGTGCCCAGCTACCACTGTCAATCACTTTGAAAGGGATCAGTGTAGGAGAGCCTAGATAAAGTGGGAAACAAATGTGGAACAAAACTCAAAATCACAAAAAAGATCAGGCTAACTGGTCTGCCAGAGACTGATGAAATACCCAAGACTACAGGCCCTAGTCACCCTTTGGGCCTGGAACTGAACTCATTCCCATGGCTTAACTTCCAGCCAAACAACAGATACGCCTATGAGGTGAACAATTATACGAGGTAGGTACACTCCTTAGAACTATCAACCTTGGGAGATCAGAAGAGCAGCATTTGCTCAGAGAGATAGCTCAGGGGGCAGGAATGAACAAGAAAGGAGAACACAGTACTGGGGTAACCACAGGGAGGAATTGGGAAAAGACCTACTACATTATGGGGATTGCAATCAAAGTCATGAAACAAAATGTGTATAAACTGTTACATGGAAATGACTTTGCTCTGTAAACTTTCACCCAAATCACAATTAAAAAAAAAAAAAAGAAATTACTTTTATGAGGCCACAAAGATTTTTATAAAGAGAACAGTATTTAAGAAGTCCTTGTTTTTGTTCAAATTCTTACCCTTTATCTTTAGCATGAACATCAGCTCCATGCTGCAGTAACAGCTGTACAATCTTTACTCTGTTGTATCCTGCTGCCAAGTGCAATGGAGTTGACTGAAATGTTAAATTTAAGTAAATTAATGAAATTCAAATAACACTTGCTTTAAAAAATATGTGAAAAAGTAAAAAGCCAAATCCTTACAACTTCACTGCCTAAATAGTAACATTATGTTAAGGGGGGAGGAACAACTCAGAAGAAGAGAATGGTCACACAACTTGAAGAATATAATTAATGTCACCCAATTGTTCATGTACAAAGTGTTGAATTGTTTATGTTTTGCTGTGTATTCTTCTACAACAACAAAGAGTTACCAGTTTGGTAACATATTGGTTACAAAATCCAACATACTGAAAGCACAGTGTATAAATCAGTAAATTCACTACTGCACATAAGATACAAGCAACTAAATGTTTATTACCAATAGTTTTAACTGAAGTTTAAGAATTAATTCTGAATTATGGCTTAAAGAAAACATCAGTACTCTCCTCAAGTATGTTTTAATTTATAATAAGAGAAGTTACCAGAAGATGAGCACACATCTAGTGGTAAAAGGAAGTACCTTTCTGCCATCACTTGCATGGCAGTTGACATTTAACGGTGTAAGTAAAGCCATCATTTTTTCCTCGTTGCCACTCCTAGAACACAAGATAATTATCAGCAATTGGTATTCTTTATCAGATCCTATCTAGAGACATGGATGTGCTGATTAAAAAATAACATTCTCTTTTACAGCTTATTGTAAAGAAAAGTTTTAAATGACGAAGTATTCATGATACGTATTTATAACATTACTACACACCTGGCACTTTCCAAGAGTTCATCCTTTTTATATTCACCTGTGAATTAGGAAAAAAAAAAACACACTCAGAAATTTGAAAACTAAACTGATTATAAAAATGACAATTTTATGCACAAAGATACTCATTCAGGTGTATATAAGGTAGGTAAGTTTGGAAATAAATTTCCAATAAGTGAAAAACGGTCACTCAGAGTAACATTCAGCTTGAGAATATTTATGAAGAACATTAAATACCTTTGTTATGGTAAGTGAAAGAGAATGATTCCATGTTATATAATGAAGCATGTGCACAACTATACAAAAACAATATGCACAGAAAAGGGAAGCCCAAAAGGAAGTATGTTATTATGGGCAAGCTTTTCTCCCCTTAAAATCCCTAAAATGAGTTATTTTTGGAACAAAATGCATCAACTTCATTCAAAAGACAAACAACACAACACCCAATATTAGATAAATGATAAAACTATACAGTATTGCCAATTGAACACAATCATTAACAATTATACAAGCGAAGAGTATTTTTAAAATACTAATTGTTTTTTTACAATGCTACTTTAAATACATATAATTTTTTTTTTTTAAATTAAACTCTTTATAGCTTTTTTTTTCTGAAGGCCACTGACTATAGTTTATGTTAAGTTTACATGGAGAGTGGCTGCTCTGCCATAAAAATGAGCTCAGGAAAGCTAGGAACTGTCACCATGGAACTGGCAGGGGGAAAGTACAGATGTAAGGGGACTCATGTAAGACTGAGAATTCCAAAAAGGTTGAAATGGTGAGGGGACAGAACTCCCAAAAGACCCTGAGGTGAGTGTGGTTAACAGCAATCTTCTTTGCTGAGGACAGGGAGGAGTCTCCACTTAGCTGTAAACTCTGGAGACTCAACGCTAGGGGTTGGCAGCTCCCTGGAGACCATCATAAGAGGTGTTGCACCACTCTCAAAAGTACCCAAAGTAGTACCAAGGCTGCTTGGCATTGGCTCTGCATGAGTCCTTGAGCCCTTCCAGGAAGAGGTCTTCATCTTTCTTCAGCAACAGAAACTGGCCAAAGACCAAACAGCTCTTGTCAAAGTCCCTTTCCTCTAGTTTCTTGCCCAAGACTTCACCAATTTTAACCATGCTCCTTACTGGCTTTCCCCCCAAGGCCTCTGTCATGAAGTCTCAGTGCTTTCGGAAGGTTGTCATCTCTATCAGGCTTAATCCATAATGGCTTTTCCTGCTACCTGCTTGCTACCTTATTTATAGCTTTTATAGTTATAAGGGAATGCAAAAACTATAAAATCAGTAAAACTTAAATTAACATAGTTTAATATAATGGAAAGCATTTATTATTTTGCTGACAGTAAATCCAACCTGCTTCCCACAATAAATATGTACTGATTGTCAGGATATGGCTTCTTTTGAGCCCCAAGATTTTTTAAAAAGATAAAATCATGGGAGAGCGAAGAAAGAAACGAACACTGAATTGAAATAAACGCTAGCACTTATTTCTAGAAGTCTTTAGTGAGACTAATCTGAATTTTCTGAAAAAACACCACAAAGCCCAAGCACAAAAGCTCACAAGAGATTCCTCATCCTTATTAGATGATGTATGACTGTAAAGTTCACCACATGACAGATAAGAATCCAGTAAAAAGTATGGCAGAGGGCTGCTTAATAGGAAAGCACATCAACAAGGGAGAAACATGTGAAACATATATGATATACAACTCAGCAAAGCTTGTGATTCTAAAATGAATATACATATGTTAATAGGCTCCAAGGATATGAATATATTATAGCAGAGTACAATTGGCACATCCATTCTCTTTAAAAAACAAAGAGAATGGTTAGTGTTTTTTTTAAAAGGATTCCATCAAAAATATCTAAATAAATTAAAAACAAAACTAAACAAAAACAGTATATTAAGGGGTAAACATAAGTTATCTGAAAAAAAATCACAGATTAAAAAAACTCTGAATACATGACAGTAACAAAATTATCCATCACTCTCTGTTCCCAAGGCAGCAAAGACAAACTTAAATACCAATATAAAAAGAAAAAACCCAAAGCTTTACATTTCTTAGACGAAAATTAAATGTCAACTGTCCAGATAGGGAAATGAATAGTGACTGAACCAACATGGTCAGTAACTGCAGGAGGCAGACCGTCTACCTAGCAGCTTGGTTTTTATATTCTCCCCAGAATCAGCAAAGCACACACACAGACTTACCTGTCAGCACTGCTTTGGCTGATGGGTCTGCTAAATCCAATGCTGTCCTTCCATCTGTATTTCGGATGGTCGGCTCCGCTCCATGCTGTAAGAGGACTGCAAAATAGCAACGTTACCTTTCAAAATGGTAACCATGACAATTTGATTTTAGTAAGTCATTTTCTCAAATATTCTGATCTAGAAGAAGTCTCAAAGTCACTTAAAGATACTTCATAACCTGATACTATGGTGTTGTATCTGAAAGATAACAATATTTAAGATATTCCATTACTTAATGCACTAAATAAAATCTGTTGCTACGGAGTTGATTCCAACCCTACAGGATAACAAACCCATGGAACAGAGTGGAACTGTCCTATAAGGTAACCTCTATGGAAGCAGAAAGCGTATCTTTCTCCCTCAGAGTGACTGGTAGGTTTGAACTTCCAGCTCTTTACTTAGCAGCTGAACACCTGACCACTGTGCCACAAGCTCTTTCATGCACTAAACAGACACAATAAATAAGTTTTCCCATTAGTTCAATGCTGGATTTTCCTCTGCTACTTTTAGAGCTGGTAACATGTGACTAAGGACATATAAAAAGGTAAAAAAAGAGGAAAGTTGCTTGAAAGCTTGTTTTTTCATTCTCTCAAATTTCCAAAAGCTTATGTTAGAAAGTCTATTCTATCATGTTGTTGTTGTTGTTTGCCGTCGAGTTGGCCCTGACTCATAGCGACCCCTCCTTGGGTTTCCGAGGCAGTATCACTACGGAAGTAGGATTGCCCAACCTTCCTTCAGAGGAGTGGCTGGTGGGTTTGAACCGTCAGCCTTCTGGTGAGCAGTCAAGTGCCTTAGGCACTATGCTACCAGAGCTCCTCTATTCTATCATAAGGAAATGAAATTTCCAGAGTTATAGATAGCCAAGGAATAGGGATCTATAGGACTGAAAAAACAAACAAACAAAAAATCACATAGGTAAATTCTTAAAGAACAAAACTAGGTAGAGTTCTTATGCTTGCAATAAATTCTCTAAGGCCATCAGTCATCATCTCCCCATAAGCTGAATAAACTGATCAACAAAGTAGTACAAAGAGTAGATTTGACCCGAAGGCTATTTGAACTTACTAAATAGCAAAGGAGAATTAGGCAGAGGTAATCTGAAATAAACAAGATAATAATCTGTTTCATATCAGTAGATATCACTTAATTTAAATTAAGCTGATGACTTTAGTATGAATAATGATTTGGGATCTTTTGGGGGAACAATTTAAGTCTAGTATGGAGCCCCTGAAGGGTGCCTAAAGCATCTGACTGCTACCCATATGGCTGGCGGTTCAAACTCATCAGCTACTCCTTGGAAGAAGACTGGGCAATCTACTTCCACAGAGATACCACCTCGGAAACCCAAGGAGGGGTTGCTATGAGTTGGATCAACTCAACAGCAGTGAGTTTTTTTTTTTTAGTGGCTCCTCAGGTGAAAGACCTGGCAATCTGTTCCCATAATGATTACAGTATAGAAAACCCACGGGGCTGTTCTAGTCTGTCCCAGTGGGCTGCTATTAGTCAGAATTGACTCAACTGCACCTAACAACAATATGGAGTCCCTTGACTTTTCTAAGTGCACACAACTGGCTTTCTATCTGTCTTATAGATTTCAACATCTTCTGCATCAGAGAATAAGAGAGCTAAGTTAGCAATGAATCCAAAATCCCTGATTTTGGTAGGCTCAGAAAAGTAAATACCAGATTACTACTCTTTGTAAAGAAATCCCTACCAACCTCTGTAACCTTTCTTCTACTGCTTCCTGGAAAGACTCTAGGAAATAATGACTTGGCTCCAGCCAGTCAATGTACTTACTATTTTCTTAACATTCCCTGCTCCCTTCCACTAGGCCTTTATCTGATTCTTTTTGTGTCTTATCTCCCAAGAGAATGTAGTTTCTAGAGAACAGAAACTTTGTACTTTATTCTCCAAAGAACTTGGAAGTCAATCCACACACAAAAAGACATTTAAGAAATAGTAGTTTGAGTACATAAATCATGAAATGTTGCTAAATATTTAAATTCAGCCTGGCAGAATTTGATCTCATTAACACATGAATTCAACCTAGATTCAGAACAGTTACAAACTCAGGAAAATTCTGGAAATTAAAAAGTCTTACCAATGCAAACATCAATCTTTCCTTTAATTGCAGCTTCATGGAGAGGAGTGTAATTCCAATTATCGCGAGCATTTGGGTCTGCACCATGTCGCAAAAGGAGATTGACAACTTCAGCATGACCAAAAGAGCATGCGTTATGAAGAGGAATAAGTCCTCCATCATCACGTGCCTGGACATTCGCACCATTCTGAAGCAAATATTCAACTACATCTTTCCGCCCAAAACCTAGGGAAAAAAAAAACCCAAATCATCCACATTTAAGTTTTCCAAACGAAACATATGACATCAGAATCAATAAATATAAGCAATATTGTTTTTGGATAGAAAGAACTAATAACTCAAAAATTCATTGATGAAAAACCAAAATAAAAGAAAACTAACCCACTGCCATCGATTGGTTACCTCTTAGAATCAGTTTCAAACCTACTGCTACAAAACATCAGTAGCCACTTAAAGATTTGTTTAGGCAGTGACTTTTATTTGCTTTTTTAAAAGGCTTAAGCTGAAGTTAAGTGTGGATAAATGGATTAAATGGAGAAAAACGGGCGATAGATCAGTCCTTTAGAGTGTACTGTCACAGTCCTTCTGAGAGATGATGAGGGCCAAAATTAAGACTACTTTGGTAGCGGGGCGGGGGGGGGCGGGCGGGGAATCATTGCTGTTGAGTGGTTTCTGACTCATGGCAACCCCATGTCCTACAGAGTAGAACTGCTCCATGGTTTTTTTTGGGGGGGAAGGGCTGTAATTTTTTACAGAAGCAGATCACTAGGCCTTTCTTCTGCTGGTGTGTGTGTGTGTGTATGTGAAGGGTGTGAGACTTTTAATGTTTGAAATCAATTCTCAGAATGGAAAGAAATTATTTTCAGGAAGCCAGTAGGGTAGCTATTTCAAATTGAAATATCTCACTGTTGGAATTTTTGTGAATCCTGTAGATTAAGATGCTTCTCAAACTCTAAGGGGTAATCCCTGATGAAATCCCCATACTTTCGGTCTCAAGAGTAGTTCAAAGCTCTTCTGCTTAGTACCCACTTCTTGAAGAAAACTAGCTTTGCAAAGTACATGCTGATCTCACTGGCCAGGCAGAACATGCATAGGTATATCCTCGCATTCAGCGTCAATCTCCATATCCTAAGGATCCTAAGGAATGGCACTCACCTCTAATCACTGCTCTGTGTGTGAAAATCCTGATGAATCAAACATTGAATCTGAGTCTACTAAGAAACCCTGGGGGCACAATGGTCAAACAGTAACTGAAACATCAGTAGTTCAAACCCACCAGTGGCTCCAAAGGAAGAAAGACCTGGTCACCTCCTCCAATAAAGATTTACAGCCTTTGGGGCACTTCTACTATAGGATTGCTAGTAGTAGGAATTGACTCAACAGCATTCAACAACATAAAGTACTGACAGTGACACAAAGCAGGATATCCGGAAGGTAGGTTTGCTGATCAGTAAACTTAATGGTAGGTACTGTGTTCTGCTCATTACTATTTACTCAAGGCCAAGGCCATGTCTGGCACATAGTTGTTGTTGTTGTTGTTGTTATGTGCCGTCGAGTCGGCCCCAACTCATAGCGACCCCTCCTTGGGTTTCCGAGGCAGTATCACTACGGAAGTAGGATAGGATTGCCCAACCTTCCTTCCGAGGAGTGGCTGGTGGGTTTGAACCGCCAGCCGTCTGGTTAGCAGGCAAGTGACTTAGCCACTATGCTACCAGAGCTCCTTGGCACATAGTAGGGCTTGACAAATATTTATTTATTGAATGTCGAATGCTTGTTTCAGTAACAAGCAAAGGACACTCCATAGAATATTCTCCAAAGAATATGGAGTTGATAATTTGTGACCACTGAGAAAAGCAGTCTATTCAATTTCCTTCTTGTCAAGATTCATTAACATCTAGATGCCACCAGTTTCATGAGTTTCAGGATGTCTCGTCAACCTTGACTACAGTTAACAGTATCATATTTTGTTGCTATACTGAAAACACACTTTCACAGGAAGTGAAAAAGAGTAGAACTCTTCCCAAAAAGCTGGGAAGTAGTTGAGGTCATGTGGTACAGTGAGTTGAGTTACTTAACATGGCCCTTCCAACCACTGTCTTTGTAATTCCCACCAAATGACTGGGAGGGAGGGTTGATCCCTCCTTGGGTTTCCAAGGTAGTATCTCTATGGAAGTAGGTCGTCCAGTCTTCCTCCCAAGAAGTGGCTGGTGGGTTTGAACTACCAGCCTTGTGGTTAGCAATACCTTAGGCACTATACCACCAGAGCTCCCTTTTTTATGCAAAGTGTGGTGCTTGTATAGCTTGCTAATAATGTAAATAAGGTGCATGGCACCCCTGTGGGGGATGGGACCATGCAAATGAGGTGTATGGAACCATTAGGTGAGGATTGGTCAGTTCTACCATCCCATTAGGCTTAAAATGAGCCACCCCACAGGCAGGAAGGGGGGCTGGAATCTCACTCCCATCAAGAAAGAAGAGCCAGGAATGGAGTACGTCCTTTGGACCAGAGATCAGTGAGTTGAACCTCCTTGACCCAGGAGACAGAGACAGCTGTTAACACTTTGCTCACACAGTGAAAAGCAGTGGCAGAGAAACAGCAGCAGCAGCAGAACCAGGAGACTGGGCAGGAGACCTGGCAGGAGATGGTATGGTAGGCTTCCAGATCAGAGTGAGAAAGCTGAGTCCCTTCAAGCCAGAGCCTTGCTGACGAACACGGTGCCTCTGGGCACTTGGTGAAGCTAATTTTGCCAATCCACGGAGCGAGAGATGAGTGCCTTCAGTGGAGTAGGGTGCCTTTGGGCACTTATTAGCAGAGCTAAAAGGTAACACTTGCCTGAAGGTGAGGCCAAGGGGCCATGAGGCTGAGAGGTCAAGGGCCAGAGAGATGCATTCTGGGAGGCACTGCTGAGAAGAGACTGTCCTTATTGGAAGAACTGTATCCTGAGATGTTTCTGACTTCTGTTACTTCCCCAATAAACCTCATAATCTTGAGTATTGCCTGTGAGTTCTATGTGGCCATTGCAATAAATTATCGAAGCCAGTAGAGAAGTAGAGTATGCAGTGGGAGGGGCGGTTAGTGTCAGAATCAGTACAAAGGTTGGTGGTGAGGGCATGTCTGACTTTCCCTTCACAGGAATCAGTCTTGGGCTGCTGTTCTCGATCCTCCTCCCCACTTGTGAAGTTAAAAAATCAATCCTGGAAACAATAATCTGTAATTGTAATCCTAGGTATGGAATGTGGATACAGTTTCTATAATTATGATGTTGAATTACAGTCCAAAGAAGGAAATGCTATTGAAAGTTAATGGAAGTCTTCAATAGCACCATTTGGGTAATTAAAAGATATTAATGGCAATCACAAAAGTTACTATATAGTAACTCATTTGGTAGCTGAGTTGTCAAAATCTTCAACAGTATCATTGGGGTATTCATTCCACTTTTTTGGACTCCACATCCTTTTTACAAAACTTCTGAGAGATGTCAACCCAGCCATACCTTGGATACTTCCAGTTTCATGGTCAAATGGATTGTTCCTCATTGAGGATGGCACAGGGCGAGGCATCTTTTTGTTCTGTTCTACACACGGTCACTGTCAGTCAGAGCCCATCCAGTGGCACCTGGCAACAGCAGCAACACTCAGGTCACGGCAAATAGTGCCTGTAACCTTTCACCAACTACTTATTATAGTTCTGCTGCTGAAGGCACACAAATCCTATCTACTCACTCTTCTACATGACTGTCTTCCATAAGTGTGAAGACAGTTATACAGCCTAGCTTTAGTTTTCTTTCATCTCAAGAATAAGCAATCCTAGTTTCCTATCTGAGAGCTCTGGTAACGTAGTGCCTAAGGCATTTGACTGCTAATTAGGAAGGTGGCGGTTCAAACCCACCAGCCACTCCTCAGCAGGAAGAGGCAATCTACTTCCCTAGCGATACTGCCCCGGAAACCCAAGGAGGGGTTGCTATGAGTCGGTCCGACTCCACGGCACATAACAACAACAACAACAACAACAACAACAACAACAGTTTCCTATCTGTTGCTTGTATTTTCAATTCCAGATGCTCTAACTCCCATTTCCTCTTCTGAATAACATTCCCTCTTATATGCAATTCATACAACTGAATATAAAACCCAAGTTCAGTATGACTGGTCTAACGCACAGGGCACTACTTCCCCCGACCTGAGTGCTGCTGCTATCAGGTGCCACTGGATGGGCTCTGACTCACAGTGGCCCTGTGTATAACAGAACAAGAAGGTGCCCGGTCCTGTGCCATCCCCACTGAGTAGCACACTGCAAATATAGCCCCAGAGTGTTACCTTGTTTACCAAGAACTCCACAATGTAAGCATTCTTTTCAACTTACTCTTATTACATAAATTTTATCTAATATAAATCCTCTCTCTTTCCAAACCCATGTATCTGGAACAGACCCCTGGTGGCACGGTGGTTAAGTTCTAGGCTGACAACCAAAAGATCAGTGGTTTGAATCCACCGGCTACTCCACAGCAGAAAAATGTAGCAGCCTGCTTCCATAAAGATTTCAGTCTTGGAAATCCTATTGGGAAGTTTTACTTTGTCCTATAGGGTTGCTATGAGTCAGAATCAACTTGATGGCAACCTTTTTTTGGTAATATATCTGGATTCCTTGAATCTATTAAAAGCTTTCACATTCTTCTCTAGTGGATAGCACTTCTCTGCATACCCTAAAGAATATTAAGACCATCTAGCCATGGAACTCTACCTTTCCCTTCTACAGAGTTCAGACTCCAGGGAACGCCATATGCATTTCATTCTTTTACTGTAATGGACACCAAAATGACTTTCTCCCAAAGTTTCTGTCACCTCTTTATTTTTCAAAAATAAGTTTAGAGATGCAGTTCCCTTCACTGAAATCTGTTTTTAGGGGATTACACTGTCAAGAATTTCAGATACTCCTGCATCTGAATAAAATTAGAGCTACAGCCTCCTTACTACAAACTTGCCTCTACAAGTTTGTGATGTATCACACACACAAAAAATCACTCATATCCTCAGTGTATGTGTGGCAGCTGGGGAGAGGGTAGAGTGGTGGTAGTAGATTAAAGAGGAAACAATTTTCAGAGTAATCGTTCTCACAAGAAATACTTTCTTTAATCACCTTTACCTAGGAGTACGTAACCTAGTTCAATAATAAAAAGTACCTAACAGAAGGAAAAAATCCTGTTTATTTTGATTACCTTTTTCTTTAACAGAAGAACTTATCTCATTTTGGGCTGGCAATCAATTAGTCTGTTAATTGAAATAATTTTTTTAGATGAAAAGACCCAATTTTTTTCTATTATGACTCATTTTCTGTTGTTGGCACAGATCTCTCTCACTCCTAATGATCTCTGGGAATCATAACAAAAACATGCCTCCCCCTTATGAAACCCCCAAACTTTAACTGGGTAAAATTTCAAAAAGATCAATTTTTTTCAAAGCATACTCTATCACATACAAACACAAGAAAATGCTTGGTTAAGCAGTTCCATAGCACACCCACCTCTGTCAAACTTCCAACAGTATGCCTACATGCACATTAACATTGATTCACTACTTATAAAAGAGATTACAAAATGTCTTCTCTGTATACCAAGAAAAAATGTCTCTAGATGCTCTTATTTAAAAAATGAAGAAAACTGGTTCTCAGTAATCAATCATTTAGAATGAATTCACAAGGCTAATTTTTTAGAAGTTCCTTATACACCTACAGGTTTAAACAGGGCTTTTAAAGCTTCTAGTTGACTGTAAAGGAGCTCTGGTGGCATAGTGGGTAAGGCAATTGGCTGCTAACCAGAAGGTCAGCAGTTCAAACCCACCAGCTACAGAAGAAAAATGGGGCAATCTACTAATGTAAAGATTTATAGCCTTGGAAACCCAATGCGGGTCGCTATGAGTCAGAACCAACTGGATGGCAGTGAGTTTGGTTTTTTTGGGCTTAGCTGACTGTACACCCTCAACAATTTTTATTACTTCCTTTTTATACCTCAAATGTTTAATCTTACGACTTGCACCTGATAATTTGGCTAAGTCAGAGGGTGGTGTGGGTCTTAAAATACCGTCTTCCATTTTATTCTCAACAAATAGTATGAAATCCATGGAAAAGGTGCTTGAAACACTGGGACAGAACTGGGGGTAGAATGAAGGTGGCAAAGAAGGTCAATAAAGCTGATTTCATAACCTTAAACCTCTAAATATTACTATTCTCGGGTATGAACTCATTAATACACCAAATGTTTGAAAGGTAGCAACTAAGATCTTCCTCGGTTATTTTTATCCACAGATCAAGTGAACAGAACCTAAGTAACGCTACCCTTTGGATTATGATCAGTTGGTCATGACAGTGTACCAAATCAGTTGTTTAAATGTTGACCATGTTCAAACAGGGCAATCCAAACTAGGTGAGCAAAGGAAGCCCTGACCATCAAAATTTCAGACAAAAATGGCTGAATAGGTGAGATTTGGCTTTTGTCCCTTTCTGCTCTCCACTAGCTACTTCTCCTTTGCCACCAATGGTCCCCAAACCACATTCTCTCAAAAAGGCTCCAAAGTGGGAACTCAACAAGGTGCATCTGATCAAGAAGCAGCCCTCCTGGTGGTATTTATATTTTAAAATTAGAGCAGGTTAAAGTAAACAAATCTGCAGTTGCTTGTTGTTAGTTGCCTTCCAGTCATTCAAACTCATGGCAACCCCCTGTGTGCAGAGTAGAAATGCTCAATAGGGTTTTCAAGGCTGTTATCTTTCGGAAGCAGATCACCAGGCCTGTCTCCCAGGATACCTCGGGGTTCGTGGGTCCTGGGCTGGCAGTTCAGTTCCTGTGTGCCACTCCGGACCTCCTTCCCATTGGTAGAGTGTAAAAGCATTGTCTATAAACAAGGAAACCTTTCTCGCTCATCATCCCCGCCCTGAAAGATCAAGAGTGCTTTAAAACTTATTATTCTGCTCAAAAAAAAAAAAAATTAAATCATCATGTAATACACAAAATTCAAAAGACAGGATTATCAAAGGTATGAGAACCTACTTACACTTCCAACCCTGCAGGGTTTACACGAGGTTGGTGAGTCACAATCTTTCTCAAAGTTAAAACTGTAACTGCTTTACGTAATGAGCTGAGTATCCTGTCTTTCAAATTTAATTACACTTAATACACATTATCCTAAAGTGAACCTAGTAAATAGTAAAATAAAGTAATTCAAAAAATGTAAATCTCAGAATGGGGCAAAGTTAGTCCCCACTTAAATTCTAAATGGCACTTAAAGTACCCACATAAACCTTCCTCTCATCTTACTACTTTCTAGCCCAACTTGCGTGTGGGGCAAAGACTTTATCACCACGCAGTACAAATCAGATCTCAGTTCCCCTAAACTTACTTATTTCCACTATTACTCTCTCCAGACCTGCTAATTATGAAGACTCAGATAAACCAATTAACGCTACCGCATCAATGGCCAATTAAGCTGCTCCTACTAAATTACTTCCTAGCATTTCACACAGGCCTTTAAGATCTCAGTCCCTGGGTGGCACAAAAAGTTAAGTGCTCGACTACTGGCCAAAAGATTGAAGGTTTGAACCCACCCAAAGGCGCCTGGAAGACAGGCCCAGTAATCTGCTTCAGAAAGGTCACAGCCTTTGGAGCAGAACCACATGAAGCAGTTTTACTCTGCATACATGGGGTCGCCATGAGTCAGAGTCCACTCTACCGCAACTAAAACAACATTAAGACCCAAGGACTGGTAACACCTTGCAATAGAGGGTCTTGCAACAAAACAGTAGATTTTGGAGATAATTTGTTTATCAAATAACAAGGCTTATCATATCTCTTTTAGGATAGCAAGACCGGAAGTTGATACAAGTATTGTTGATACTCTAAAACAATACAAAGCCAAAATAACAACAAAAAACTTCCAGTGAGGGCTGCATGCTCACTCCCTAGTCACCAATCGCCTCAATCCCCACTCAACAAGAGCGAGGTCTCCAAGACTGAGTCCTACGAGGAAAAGCTGGCACTGTGGTTTCCGGGCCTAAAGGCCTTGGAGTCCGGGCCGGAGCTACAGATAGGGTCTGCAACAAGGCTAGGCGGCGCTGGCCGTGGTTACCTGCGGCGAAGTGGAGCGGGGTAGACTTCCTCCCCGCCGTGTCGCGACTGTTCACCTTTTCGGGTGTCACTAGCCTCTTGACTCGTTCCACGTCTCCGTTGCGGCATGCTTCGAACAGCTCGCGGGCGGCCGGCTCCACAGCATCGACGGCAGCGCCCGCGCAGGCCGCGCCTCCGCCAGCGCAGCGGCGGCCCGACATGATCCTGGCCGCCGCCGCCAGCAGCAGCGCCAGCAACGGCAGCAGGAGCCCCGGCCCCACGAGCAGGAGGGCGAGGCCCCCCGGGGAGACGCGATCAGGGCCCAGGCCGCTCGCCTCCTTGCTGTCACCGGCCCTCGCACAGTCCCATGGTCAGCCGCCAGGCGATCCCCTTTGGCCTCGTGCCCTGCGGCGACCCAGACAACGCAAATTCGCCGTCCAAGCCCCGAAGCTACGCGGCAGCGGAAGCTGCCAGGGCCCCTCCTGCAAGCTCCGCGGAGCCCCAGGAGCGCACGTGACGTAGCCCCGCGCGTGCGCAGAGGCTGCAGACCAGCTGGGCAGGTTTCGGGGAGCGGGGCCGCGCGGAGGGGTTTGTGGGAAATGTGTGGCGAGAGCCACTGGTGGCGAGAGCAGGGGCTTCGTCCCAACGCCATCTTTGTGGTGGGGACTGCTGAAGCTGAACAGCGGTTGTTGTGTTTTTAGATGCGTGAACTTTCTGAACTGAATTTCTTGTCTGTTCCCTTCGCTGAAAAAGAGCTCTTGAAAGTTTTACCCTAATCTGGGAATGTTGTATATTTCTTTGGAAGCCTTGGTGTGGAAAATTTCAATTTTTTTTTCCAACTTCCACAATTTCTTTGAGGATTGTTTTCCGTTTTCTTTAATACGTCTCTTCCATTTCCCCGAACTGTTTTTTTGTTCTTATTTTCTTGTTAAGTCACTTCTGGGAAAGGAAGGCATTACTCTCCATTTAAAGGAAGGCATTACTCTCCATTTAATGAGAAGTTTAGACGAGTTGTCCTAAGATCATTTAAAGGAAATTAGAAGAGCGATGGAAGTTTATTCCAATTCTGACCTAGTAGTAATTAAGAGAGGTGGATCTGATCAATTACTCTTTACACAGTTTAACAACTGTGAACTGACTGGAAGGTTGATACCCAATTGATACTGTATTGAATGTGGATGAGGTGCGAATAAATGGGGCACACACCTGGCCAAGAGAGTTATCTGAATGTTTTTTCAGCAAAACCAAGAAAGCACAGTTTAAACGCTTAAGATAGTGATGCAGCTGTTGATCATTTGCCATCACATTCCCTTTGTCTCAAAGAAGGAACTTTGAGTTTGAAAGAAAAGTATACTTACACCAAATAGTACATCTTGACCTTTGGCATGTTGACAAACGTTTTCCCCTTACTGTATTAACTTATTAACCTGTTTTTCAGGAAATCCAGTATTTGGAAGTGTGACTCCTGAGCCAAAGAAAAGATGTACACTTGACTTTTTAAATATATATATTTATATATATTCCACTGTATAAGCATTAAATAATATATTTAGCATAAATTTTTGTTGTGTCTTAATGCAGTAAACACCCATGTTCCCACCTAACAACTACAACCCTACCTACCTATCTCATTTAGTCCATCGTTGATCTGGCCCATCTCAACCCCTTGTATCACCCATTTTTATTATTCCTTATTATATTTATCAGGAGGTCTGGTAGCATAGTGCCTAAGGCACTTGACTGCTAACCAGAAGGCTGGCGGTTCAAACCCATCAGTCACTCCTCAGAAGGAAGATGGGGCAATCTACTTCCATAGTGATACTGCCTTGGCAACCTAAGGAGGAGTCACTATGAGTCGGGTCCGACTGGATGGTACATAACAACAACAACAACAACATTATATTTATTATTCCTTTCCCATTTATGTATCCCTAAGCAACACAGTATTTAGTTTTGCTTATTTTTGAGCTTTATAAAAATATCAGTCCTTTCAGCCGGGGGTGGGGGGTGGGGGGAGGGGGGGTAAGAGTGCATGGGAGGGAAGGACACAGGGAAGAGGTGGCCATAGTGAGGCAGTGGAAGGAGAGCTGTTGCACTGTGGGAGATTGCAGTCGATGTCAAGAGACAAAAGTGAATGTGAACTGCTGTAAGGAAGAGGAATTTGCTCTGTAAACGTTCATCCAAATCACAATACAATTAAAAAAAAATTCAGTCTTTTCTGGTCTTTTTTCACCTGAGAAAATGTAAGACTCTTGCATTCATTTTCTTTGCTTCATAGTGTTGCATTGTGTGAATATACCACAAATTTATAATTCTACTGGACACTTGAATTATTTCCAATTTTTTGTTATTATGAACATTCTTATATATTTTCCTTTTGTACATGTGCAAGGATTTAATATGAGTGACTTTCAAACATTTATGTTTGTATTGTACATTTTTGTTCAGCATACTTTCTAAATGCATTTAAAAAAATGTATTGTGATAAAATATATATAATAAAACATTTGCTATTTTAACCATTTTTACATATACAAGTCAGTGACATTCATAATGAATTACATTTGTTATGTTGTGCAACCATCAGCACTATCCATTTCCAACTGTTATTCATCACCCTGAACAAAAACTCAGAACTTATTAGCAATCACTCTCCATTTCTACTTTCTCCAAGCCCCTGCTAACCACTAATAAACTTTGGCTTCTATGTATTTGCCTGTTTGAGGTATTTCATGGAAGTGGGATCAGACAATATCTGTCCTTTTGTGTTTGACTAATTTCACTCAGTATAACGTTTTCAAGGTTTATGTAATGGCATGTGTCAGAACTTCATTTCTCTTTATGGTTGAATAATATTCCATGGCATGTGATACTGCCTCGGAAACTCAAGGAGGGGTCGCTATGAGTCGGGTCTGACTCGACGGCACATAACAACAACAAACAACATGTATGTATCAACTCAAGAGTCACCTCATTAACATAAACTAGGTTAAGTGAACAGAAGATTTCAAAAGGCAACTGGAGAAGATGAAGTAAACAGTTATAATGAAATGTGCAAAGACCTAGAGTTAGAAAACCAAAAGGGAGGAACACACTCAGAGTTCCTCAAGCTGAAAGAACTGAAGATAAAAATTCAAGCCTTGAGTTGTAGAGCTCGAGGATTCTGTGAGCAAAATGTTGAACAACGCAAGCCATCAAAAGAAGGGAGGAATACAGAGTCATTGTACCAAAAAGTATTGATTGACATTCATTTCATCCATTTCAGGCAGTAGCATATGATCCTTCAATACCACTGATATTGAAGGAAGAAGTCCAAGATAAACCGAAGATATCGGCAAAAAAAAAAGACTCCAGGAACTGACAAAATACTAGTTGAGATATTTCAACAAACTGATGCAACACTGGAAGCACTCACTTATCTAGGCCAAGGAATTTGAAAGACAGCTACCTGGCCACTGACCTTGAAGAGATCCATATTTGTGCTCATTCTACAGAAACGTGATCCAACAGAATGCAGAAATTATTGAATATCATTAGTATCATTCATAAGTAAAATTATGTTGGAGATAATTCAAAACTGGTTGCAGCAGTGTTGTTGTTGTTGTTGTTGTTAGGTGCTGCTGAGTCAGCTCCAACTCATAGCGACCCTATGCACAACAGAACGAAACACTGTCCGGTTCTGTACTAGCCTCTCTATCCTTGCTATAGCTGAGACCATCGTTGTAGCCACTGTGTCATTCCATCTTGTTGGAGACCTTTCCCTTTTTTGTCAATCCTCCACTTTACCAAGCATGATATCCTTCTCTAGGGAATGGTCTCTTCCGACAACATGACCAAAGTAGGTGAGATGAAGTCTGGGAGTTCTTGTTTCTAAGGAGCGTTCCAGCTGCACTTCTTCCAGGACAAATTGGTTAGTTCTTTTAGCAGTCCACAGTACTTTCAGCATTCTTTGCCAACACCACAACTCAAAAGCATCAACTCTTCTTTGGTCTTCCTTATTCATTGTCCACCTCTCACTGAAAATGTGCATTTGAGGCAACTGAAAATACCATGGCTTGGGTTGGGTACACCCTACTCTTCAAAGAGACATCTTTGCTCTTCATCACTTGAAAGAGGTCTTTGCAGCAGATTTGCCCAATGCAAGACATCTTCTGATGTCTTGACTGCTGCTTCCATTGGTGTTGATTGTAGAACTAAGTAACATGAAGTCTTTGACAACTTCAATCTTTTCTCCATTTATCGTGATGCTGCTTATTGGTCCAGTTGTGAGGATTTTTGTTTACTGCATATTGAAGTGTAATCCATACTTCAGAGTGTACTCTTTAATCTTCATCAGTATGTGCTTCAAATCATCCTCACTTTCAGCAAGCAAAGTTGTGTCATCTGTGTATCATAAGTTGTTAATGAGTCTTCCTCCAATCCTGATGCCACATTATTCTTCATGTAGTCCAGCTTCTCAGATTATTTGCTCAGAGAACAAGTTGAATAAGTGTGGTGACAGGATACAACCTTGACACCACTCCCTTCCTGATTTTAAATCATGAAGTATCCTCTTGTTCTGTTTGAATGACAACCTCCTGGTCTATGTACAGGTTCCTCATGAGTACAATTAAGTGTTCTGGAATTCCTGTTCTTCTCAAGGATATCTATAATTTGTTAGGATCCACACAGTTGAATGCCTTTGCATAGTCAATAAAACACAAGTAAACATCTTTCTGGTATTCTTTGCTTTCAGCCATGATCCATCTGACATCAGCAATGATATCCCTCATTCCACGTCCTCTTCTGAATCCAGCTTGCACTTCTGGAAGTTCTCTGTCAATATACTGCTGTAACCATTTTTGAATTATCTTCAGCAAGATTTTACTTGCACATGATATTAATGATATTGTTCAATAATTTCCACAATCCATGGGATCACCTTTCTTTGGAATGCATACAAATATGGATCTCTTCCAGTTATTTGACCATGTAGCTGTCTTCCAAATCTCTTGGCCTAGCCAAGTGAGTGCCTTCAGTGCGGCATCCATTTGTTGCAACATCTCAATGGGTATTCCGTCAATTCCTGGAGCCTTGATTTTCACGAATTCCTTCAGTGCAGCTTCAACTTCTTTCTTTGATACCATTGGTTCTTGATCATATGCCACCTTCTGAAATGGATGAACATTGACCAATTCTTTTTGGTACAGTGACTCTGTATATTCCTTCCATCTTCTTATGATGTTTCCTGCATCAATCAATATATTGCCCATAGAATCTTTCAATATTGCAATTTGAGGGTTACATTTTTGTCTTCTTGAACTTCTTGAACTTGAGCAGAGCAGTTTGGAACAACTAAGGGAGACAAATTTGTCTGTCAGTTGCTTCAGCTACTGTCCATTCAAGGGCAAATTTCAGTCTCTTCTGACATCCATTTTGGTCTTCCTTTCCTGTCTTTTTAATGAGCTCTTGCTTTCTTCATGGATGATGTTCTTGATGTCATCCCACAATTCCTCTGATTTTGGTCATTGATGTTCAATGCATCAAATCCATTCTTTAGATGGTCTCTAAATTCAGGAGGGATATAATCAAAGTATATTTTGA